CCTGGGGACAGGGGGTACGGGGGACTCTGTACTAGCTGCTGATTACTGCTGTGAACCTAAAACCATTCTAAAAACATTACGTCTATTAAAGAAAGGAAAAGAAGAGAGAAAGGGAAGGCATGCCCGAAGGACACAGATTTCTGAGAGTACGGCTTGCCATCAGTCATCAAGCCGGCCTGCTGGGTGGGTAGCTGCACAAGAAGGTCCACTGTCCCCTGTGGCGGGGGAGCCCGCACCTTCCTCTGCGCTCAGCTCTCTCTGGACATCAGGGATGGCCCTCCCTCCCAGGGCTGCCATGTCTGGGCTCCTGTGAGCCTTGAATGCATAAACCTGTAACAATGAATTAAGACTGAAATACAGGTTACAAGGTCTCTCAGTACAACGTAAGCACACCGCTTGATCTGTAATCTACAACCACTTTTCACACAATGTCACTTGGGATTATTTTCTGGAGAATTATTTTTTATTTATTTATTTATTTATTTATTTTTTTAATGTTTTATTTATTTCTAGGAGAGAGAGAGAGAGACAGCATGAGCAGGGGGAGGGTCAGAGAGAGAAGGAGTCACAGACTCTGAAACAGGCTCCAGGCTCTGAGCTGGCAGTCAGCACAGAGCCCGACGCGGGGCTCGAACCCACGAACCGCGAGATCATGACCTAAGCGAAAGTCGGACGCTTAACCGACTAAGCCACCCAGGCGCCCCAAGGAGAATTATTTTTTAAATATTGGGTGCAGAGTTTTAACGCAAGTCAGACTCTTTTGAGTTTTAACCAAATTTGGCATCCTGCATTGAGAATAACACCTATTCTTCAGGATGTTATTTCTGTACAAAAAAAAAAATATATATATATTTTAAAAAGTACCCTTCAATAGGAGGGAATAATGGCCAAAAATAAGAGTTGAATATTTCTGAATTTTATGACAGCTCTAGGCTCACAGAGCTAAGGAGTTCCATGAACCCCAAGCATAAAAATCTTCAAGAAAACTGCACTAAGGTACACCACAATCAAACTGCTTTAAACAGTAATAAAAACAAAAAAATTTGAAATGGGAGGGAACAAAGATAAGAACGACAGGTTTCTTACCAGAAGCAATGCATACCAGAAAACAGTAAAGCAACTCTTTTTAAATGCCTAAAAAATATATATAATCTAGACTTTCAGGCTCACTGAAATTCCCAACTCATTCTGAGACTTGCGTTTCTGGATCCTAAAACCAGACGAAGAGACGCTGCTAGAAAATAAAATTACAAATACGCAACACACACATGGATGGAAAACTGTAAATAAAATATTAACACGCCAAATTCAGGGACACGGGAAAACCATACCACGTTAGGATCATGTAAGGATATCCTGGTAATGTAAAGTTGGGTTAATGACCAAAAATCAATTTACGTAAGTTTCTTAATGGAGTGGGCAAAACCCAAGACCATACAACCATCTCAGTAGAAGCAAAAGAGTGCCCCCAAAAATCCAACATCTGTGGCTGATACAAGGACGCCCATCGTTTCGGGGTCTGCCCGCGCCACCTGCCGCTTTGCCTCCCAGACACGGCCCGGCTCGTCTCCTACGAGTCCCCGTTCATGCCACCTGGCCTGGGGGCCACCTGTCAGCCTTGGTCTATTTCCCTCCTTCCCTAAAAACCGGAGCCAGCGTCTGTGAGAAAGGGAGAGGCACCTACCACCAGCTCACGAAACCTCCGCAGCATCTGGCTCTCCCGGTCCCGGGCACTGTCCTGGTCCTGCCTGCCCGCACCGAAAGACGCCGTGAGCCACCTGACACAGGACGCCAGCAGAGTCCCCCTCCAGGCGCGCAGCTCTCCTGCCGCCCCGTCCAGGACGGCAGACACGGAGTCGGCCATGCTCCAGCTGCCGCAGACAAAGGCACAGTGTCAGCGGGACGGCCTAAGTCCCTCCAGTTTAAGCGTCACCCGTTACACCGGGCCACCTGGGACAGGTGCCCCGAGTCCCCGACCCCTATGTCACCCGAAGACGGGAGTCACAGGCCGCCCTGTCTCCCGGCTCCAGCGTCGCAGAGGTGCCAGCATTTTCACAACTAGGAAACGGTATTAATGCACCAGAAGATACACTGTCTGGACTTCACCTAAATTTGTCTTCTCCAAGTCAGCACTACTGGCATCCTGAGCCAGACTCTTCTTTCTCACGGGGGAGAGGACGGGTCAGTCCTGTGCATAAGATTTTTAGCAGCACCCCTGACCATCACCTTCCAGACGCCAGAAGCAACCATCCCCCACCCATGTCGCGACAACAAAAAAACATCAGATGTTGGCACCGGTCCTCTGGAGGTGGCACAATCACCCCCAGATAAGAGACGCTGTCCTCGGGGAGCCAGAACCAACCAGCCACCTCTGGAGACGTGCTTGCTCCAGGCAGGAAGGCTGGGAGCAGACTTCCCGTAGGAAGTGCCTTCAGGCCGTAGGAGCAGTGAAGCCATTTCTCGCTAGTTTATATAAAAACTAGAGGCGAAAGTGAAGCGGGGAGGGCAACGGCCACCAGACAGTGTACGCCTGCCTACCTCTCGTGTCTGCCTGGGGTCTGAAGCAGGCTGGGCAGGCGGTCCATGAGCACACCAAGGTCCTTGGCTCTTGCGAACGGGACCAGCTGGGCCAGGACCTCGTGATGCAGCCCCGACGCTGGGGGCCCATCCACGCTGAGAAGCCTGGTCTGCAGTTGCCTCCACAGCGCTTTCCTCAGCACGGGAATGACGGCAGAGGACACTAGGCAGAGACAAAAAGGACAGACGGTCACACAACGTGCTGGGCTGGAGCCAGCGCGTTTCAGCTTCCAGAGCCCGTGAGGCATCTTGTGACCGGGTGAGGTCATGCTTGCACTGTGACGCTGGCCAAGGCGGGAGTACCGATGCCACAGAAAGTGCCGGGTGCAAGGGCCGGCTGGTTACACGCTGACCGGCTCACCGCACAGGCCGCCACTCATCAGTCAATGCTCTGACACTGGGCCCAGAGCTTGCCGCTGGTGAAGAGAGTGTGAGTACCGAAGTTCTGGGCTCACTTGGGGTTGGTGCCTCAAGGACGCGGGAGCCGGAGAGGCGTGCGAGAAGAGGTGCCCTGAGAGCCACTGGCTGGCCTGAAGCTACGGGTGGAGCGAGAGGGCTGAGCCCACACCGCCCGGGCTCAGAGCAAACTCGCTGACACTTCTGCAGGGGACGATGGGACGGGACAGAGGGCGGCCACCCCGAGTGCCTCCTCTGGCCCCGGGGTGCATCCCTCCTTGACCCACCCCTGCCCCTTCCTGTGGGGAGCTCAGGGTGGACAGGAGCATGGGGGTGGCACCCCAAGGCACAGACCCAGAGCGGGGAGGGGTGGCAAGGGAGAACCTCTCCTCTCGCGCGGTGCCCAGAGCCGGCCAGTGGCTGAAGGAGCAGCAGAGCCACCGCACAGCCCGCATTCGGAAGCTCCGGGCGCGACGACGCACGTGTGGTTTCCACCTCCCCACCCTTTGATTTAACGCCTCCAGCTGCTCAAGGCCACGGCTTCCGTACCTCCTACTGGGCGTGTGAAGGGACCCTGCATCCTGCACTGGAGGTACACGTGGACGAGGGGGAGGAAGTCGTCAAGGCCTTCCTGGAGGCAGAGGCTGGAGCCGGGCTGCCCGCACCACAGCTCAAAGCGCAGCAGGTGGGTGGAGCTGAGCTGCACGAGCAGGGCGGCGGTGCCGAGGGCCGCCTGCGTCCGCCGGGCCAGGCAGTAGTCCAGCACGGGGACGCCGACCACGGGGGCCAGCTCGGGCTCTCTCTGCAGAGTGTGGAGAAACACGGCATCCAGCTCGTCCACGGCCAGTGCGGGAAGCAAAGCCCCCAGGCCTTTCACGAACCCGGGGGCCCAGAGGAGCTCGCCGCTCGGCCGCTGATCCTGGGCGCCGTGGGTCAGCAGCTGGACCAGGGTCCTGCCGAGAGCATTCAGGTGCCTCTGCTTCCTGGGGGACTTCGCGGGCCGCTGGACCACGAGCTGGGCCGCGGGCAGGCTCAGCAGAGCCAGGGTGACCTCACGGAGCTGGGCACCCTCCATGTAGGGATGCAGCTCCTGCAGGGCATCCAGCTGCGGGAGGCTCTCTGTGCGTGACGTGGCCGGGCCCGCCCCCCTGTCCCGCAGCATCTGCAGCACGCTCTGGGCGGTGGCCGCCGTGTACGGGGCCAGGAGGCCCAGCTGTCCGGAGCTGCAGACGATCGGGGCGCTGGCCGTCAGCAGCCGCAGGACCCCCGCGCTGAGGTGGGCCCCCAGCAGCTTCACGAGGACGGGGCTGAGGGTGTGCGCAGGAAGGGCCCGGCGCTCCAGGGCCAGGAACCAACCCGCCAGCGTGGGATGTCTGAGGACAGCCGCCAGCACCTCCTCCAGCGTCTGAAATAGGGCGACAAGGCACAGACCTTACCCGCAGCCCAGGGCCCACGAGGAGTAGGCTGGAGGGCGGAGAAGGGCATTCCTAAGCCGTGCCATTCTCCCACCCGAGTTCTGATGCCCCTCTCAGGGGCGCCCCCCAGCACCCCAACCTGAGCCCAGTCATGGCTATAACCAGACTACAGCGTCCCCCCCACCCCCCCCCCCCCCCCCCCCCCCCGTGACTGTGCCGGCTGGACCATGACTGGACCAGGGTCCCACCCACTCCGGCATGTGTCTGAGCTGACCATACAGCGAAACTGCTCTCCAGTCCCTCTGAACAGGGGACATGCTGTGCAGAAAAGCCTAAACGTGATGAAGGCCAATCATCTGGTGCCCGCTCAGCAGCCCCGCGTCCAGCATCAGCCAGACTGGGGGGACGTGGGTGTCTCCGGTAGACCAGAGTAGTGTGATCACAGTTTGGGAGAGAAGAGACCCTGTGCCTGGAACAGCGGATGGGGTCGCAGCCTCAAGTCTGAGGCCTGGAACTAAACGTCACGTCCCAGGAGGCTGAGCCCTGAGTGACTCCTGGGGAACTCCCTGGGACCCAGCGCTGGGTTGAAACCAGTGAGCAGCCTTGCCCAGTTCTGGAACGATCTGCTCCTAGCCAACGAAGTCACACGGTCTCTGAGAATGGGAAGATGTTGTCCTTCCTCCTTTACTTGTCAGGGACGGAAAGGAGTCCATCACACCTACTGAGCTGTGCCCATTACATACAGAAAAGCGTGATGTCACGTTAGCACCACCTTGCCCCCCGTCAAACAGCTACTAGGTGGTCCTGCACCCACAGCCACCTCCTGGAAGTCAACCTGGAGACAGATCAACGGAGGGGGGCTGTCTGTTAGTCTGTGAGATGAGGAATTGTTTGCAGGTGAGATGCAGATTGTGAGACAAGGGCTCACCCCGGCCCCAGCCCCACGGCGGCCACATAAGGTCACCAAGCAGGACGAAGACTCCTTCCCGGCGCTGCAAGTTCCTGGTGTGTATTCATGGGGATGAGCCGCACCCACCGCCCGGCCTTCACTCAACACAGGCTGCAAAAGCTCCGCAGGAACACATTCCCACCGGGTTTCTCAAGATGGTCACGTCACCCGGTGTAAGGGCAGGGGAAACAACATGCAGGGAGGGTGAGTGGGTGCAGAGTTATGACTAGAAAGGTAAACGCCCAGTGACGCCGTGCTTATCTGTGGGTGAGGGGTCACGGCTGGTTTGCAGCGTCTCCGACAGAGTTCTGCATCTCGTCATTTGCCTGCGACAAACCCTTACGTGTCTCAGACCAGAAGCAGAGGGGAAGCAGGGTCTGAGACTTCCAGGAAAAGGCTGACGGGAAGGAGCCCCACGGAAGGAGGGCAGCGATACCTTGTCACTGGCCAGCTCCAGCGAGGCCACGGACTCCGTGTCCAGAAAGAGGTCGGAGGCGGCCTGGGCGGCCTCGCGTTTCTGCTGGTCCTGCGAGGCCAGCTGCGCACAGTGGGCGACCAGGCGCTGGAGGAGGTCCAGGAGCAGCTGCAGGACGGGGGGCCCTGCGCTTCGGCCCAGCTGTGAGGACGAGAGCCACACACGCGAGAGCTCAGGCCAGGGAAGGGCTCCCAGTCACCGTGAGCGTGACCGAGTCCCTCTGTGACCGAAGGTGCCACGTTCCCGGAAGCAAGGACTGAGGAAGGAGACAGGCCAGAGTGGCCGGTCCCTGAGAGACACCAACAACCTCAAAGTCCTTTCTCAGGAAGACGTGCGCCCTCAATCTTGATGAAGTAACCGGGTTTGTTTGGGTCAAGATGAGGGAGACGCAAATTAAAGCTCCGTAAACCACACCGGGGACAGAAAGCTCGCCAACGAACTACTCAACACTTCTGAAAGATGGGGCATCTGGCCGCGCCGGTCCCGTCCTCTGTGGAGGGCGCTGGCCTGAGCGCCCGCTGCGCTGCCCCAGCCACAGAGCTCGGCCTGCGGTCCGCAGGAAACGGGTGCCGCAGCCGCCTCTGCCTGTCTGCTCCAGGAGGGGGAGGGGCCCAGCACAGACGGGCGGTGGGCCAGCAGCCCGGCTCCCCAGCTGGGGGGGTGGGGTGGGGGGCGGGGGGCTCCGTGGCCCTGTGTGTGTCACATCACTAAGTTGCCTTGTGTGCAACGGGGTGACAGCAAGACTCTGAAGCTCTATGGACACTGTCACTCGGTCTGGCCCCGACTCTGAGGCGGCCGCTCTGCCGGCGGGGACGTGGGGGCACGCAGGGGCTGGGGGGCCGGGCAGGAGCAGCGCTGACCTGGCCAAAGTTCTCCACGGCGCTCCTCACGTAGAGCAGCAGGTGTGTCGCCGAGCCCAGGATCTGGTGCGCCGGCAGGTGCGGGAGGGCGGCCTGCAGCTGCGCCTGAACCTGCTCGTCCAGGAGTGCACCCTCGCTCTCGTAGGCCGCCTGCAGCAGGGCGGAGAAGGAGGAGGCCGCAGGGCCCTGGGGGGCGAGGCTGCCCGGCATCTGAAGGGGCTTGGGAAAGCAGCAAAAATCCGAAGAAAAGGAAAGAAAAACAATTGCAGATTAAAAGGGTGCACAGTCGGCTAAAACTAAAGTCCTAAAACTAAAAAATATGTGACTGTGTGGCATTCTATTTAAAGAAGTTAAGCCCCAACGTTACCTCAGGGTGCATTAACACAAAAGCACTGCATCAGGAAGGGGTTTGCACACCCCGAGAACAGACGCCGTGGGCTAGAGCCGCACGGGCCGGGCACTGACTGAGGCGTCACGGTGATGAATGCTGCACGCTGTGGGTGGCACCTGGGAAGGGGGCAGCTCACAAGCTCTATGCCTTCCAAAGGCCCTCGCCAGGGAGGGTGTCTTGTTGGGAGAGTAACAAGCCAGTGGACAGAGCGAAGAGAAATTTCTGGAGCTTGACCTCAAACTCAAGTTGTTAACTTCTTCTACAATAACTGCCAAACTGCTTTCTTTATTGACCCCACGGGCCTTTTATGACTGTATCTCCAAACACTCCACTTTCTAAAGCTGACGAAACTAGGTCCTGTGTGCCTGGAGACACAGCAGGTCCCCTGGTGGGGTCCCCGGACCAAGCAGCAGGGTCGCCCGGGAACGGGTGAGAAAGGCCAATCCCCAGGCCCACCGCACACATGCTGAGCCAAACACACTCAGGGTGGGGCCCAGTGACCGTGTCCGAACGAGCCACCAGGGGACTGACATCCCACCAGGGTAAGAAATGCTGCTGTGACCCACCCCTCAAAGAGTGGACACCTTCCTTTGTGTACCCACGAGGCACAGCACTGACCTGCTAAGCTCTGACCAGCTGCCCTCAGTTCTGAACTGCAGCTTAGCATGCAGGGGAGGGTGGCAGCGGCCCGGGAAGGGCGTGGATGCTGAAGCTGACTGCCTGGGCCGCATCCTGACCTTCCCCTGCCCCCTACTGCTGCCCAGTGGTGGAATGGCTCTGTGCCTCAGTTTCCCCATGTGTGTAATAAGCACAGTAAGTCCCAAGCTTCTTCTCTGAGTCACCGCAAGGATTAAATGGCTTGAATCACACAGTGCCCTTGGTACCAGGCCCCGACGGACGGGAAGTGTTCGATTAACACAAGTATTTGCCATGAGTACCGCAAGACAAAGAGGCCCTGAGCTGCTTGCTTTTGCACGAACAGCTAAAAGTGTTCTGAATGAATACACACCACAAAGCTAACTTCTTGTGCCTCCCCAGCCCCCAACATTCATAAACACTCTGGCGCTGGGGCCAGATGTGCAGGGCCTGTTACAAGCACGTGGTCCCCACGTAAAGGCGGGACGTTCTTTCTTTCTTTCCATTTTCCCAGTCTTCACGGAATGGAGGCTGCTGGGGGCCACCAGCACCTGGTCTGACGGGAGCCCCGGAGCCGAGGGGCAGGCTGGGGCCCGCTGAAGGCGGCCAGGACCCAGGCACGCTGCATCACTTGGGACGGAGGGAAGAGGAGGCACCTTCCCCCACCCCAGCCCCAAAGCTGGCGCGGGGGCTCAGTGATCATGCAGCCAGCGGAAAATGCAATCCGGCGGCATCAGCGAGCCATCCGTCCTCTGTCGCGCCAGCTAAGTAGCAGTGGTGCCAAGGAGCTGGCCTCCTGCGCGGGGAAACCACAAGGCTACCAAGCTTCTCCCTGCAGGCTGCGTGGCGGCGAGGCTGAACCATCGGGGCGCAGCGGCGGCCCACGGGGGGCATCGCGGGGTTTCCCAGGGCAAGGCCCGGTACCCGCGGGAGCGCTCCCGCCGCGGCTCACCAGGGCCTCGCGGGCCGCCTCTGGGATCCAGCGGCTGTAGTACGTGTGGAACCGCAACAGCTGGTGGCAGCAAGGCGGGACGGGAGGCTCCAGCCTGTCGTAAGCCTGAAGCAGCAGACACAGCGCCAGAGGGTCCCGCTGCGTGTGGAGGAGGTCTGTCAGCACCGCCGTCAGGTATGCCACGACGTTCTCGCCTGCAAAGGAATGAGACGTGTGGGGGCGGCCTGTCGGGACCCTTCTGTGGCCCGTCAGTAACACCAACTCCCACGGGTATCCCAGATCCAGAGAAACAGACGCCAATTCCATGAGGGGTCACACACACACACACACACACAGGAGGGCAGGTGCTATCACCGCACAGCACACCAGGCTCCGTTCCACTAAACGTGTGACACACAGTCAGGCTTCAGTTCCCAAGGCCTGGAAGTGGAGACCCAGGCCTAGAAGTGACGCAAGAGCCACCTGGGGCCAAGACTTGTTTGGCGCTCGCAAATCCATTCTTGGTCCTTGGGCACCTGGACCCCCCACTGTGGTCACGCTGGGACCACGTGACTGATTCAGCCACTTCCAGGCCTGGCGGGAACAGCCCCTCCTTGACGGTCCCCTCTGTCTTCCTCTCCCACAGTGACCCTGGAGGCTGTATGTGGAGATGGTTCAGCTACAAGATGGGAGTGGCCTGGACCCCTGCCTCCACGAGAACAGTCCCACACGAGAGCAACTTGACCTATACTGGACTATGCCAAGGTCCAGAGAAGAGACCTTTGCCCATTCAATCACTACATGCTGGGCCTTATTTGTTACTACAGCAGAGCCTGAGCAACCCTGACTAATCACACCACTGTGATCTAGTTGTGATCTAGGGATACTTCCTCGGTTCTCAGTTCCAGCAATTTCCAGCAAGTACGAAGGACTCACACCCTAGCATCGTGATGGCAAAAATAGACTCTGAAAACGTCGGTGTTAAAGCAGGTCTGTGCAGCAGACAAATAATGCATTCTTATGGACTTACCCCTCAAATGGCCCATTTCCCAGAAGTCCTGCTGGCACCCAGATTCTCATCCCTACACACTTAGCTCTGAAGGCCAGGCAGCCATCACTTGGGTACGAACCTTGCTGCCACGGGTTTTCAGCAAGTATTCCCGGAGCCCCTGGAACCACACCTCCCAGCCCACAGGGACCTAGCTGGTGACGCACCCAGGAGATCCTGACTATACGCAGGTACCTGTTTCGTGTTCTGTCCCAAGGAGCAACTTATTCCTGGCTTCCAGGGCTGCGGGGACCACGGCACTGAATGGGAACGTGAGCAGGATCATGTCTTCATCCAGTAAGAACCCAATCTCCTCATCCAGGCCTTCACTGCCCTCCACCAGGACGTCCACCATGTCGAGAACATCTGAGACAGAAAGAGGACAATCCAACCAAGGCCAGAGACACCGAAGGACCCCACTGCAAAGGGCTCCACAGGCAGGGATCGTAAGAAACGTCTAAGAGGAGGCGTAAAAGCTAAACACCCCCGGGGGGGAAAGGCTTAGTATGAAGTTTAATTCTTTTTTTTTTTTTTTTTTTTAAATTTTTATTTTATTTCTAGGAGAGACAGAGAGAGAGAGAGAGACAGCGTGAGCAGGGGAGGGTCAGAGAGAGAGGGAGACACNAAATTTTTATTTTATTTCTAGGAGAGACAGAGAGAGAGAGAGAGACAGCGTGAGCAGGGGAGGGTCAGAGAGAGAGGGAGACACAGACTCTGAAACAGGCTCCAGGCTCTGAGCTGGCAGTCAGCACAGAGCCTGATGCAGGGCTCGAATCTACCAACCGTGAGATCATGACCTAAGCAAAAGTCGGACGCTCAACCGACTAAGTCACCCAGGCGCCCCTGAAGTTTAATTCTAAACACACGAGGACATCACCTCTGAAATCCCAAGAGCTCTGCCAGACGAAATATAGGATGTCTGGCTCAGATGATAATAGACTGAAGTTTCCTCAAGTGACACCGAGAAGCCCCAAAACCTTAACCTGGATATTCAGGCGAATAGGTCAAAATCAGAGAAGCCAAACAGGGTCAGGGTTGAAGCACAGACCAGAGCCCAGGTCTGGACTTCAAATCCTGACTCTGCTGGGTACTAAGCTGTGTGAGCTTGAGTTAATCACCTAATCTTTCTGGGCGTCAGCTGCATTACCATCGTATAAAAAATGTGGATAATAACATCTGCCCCTTAGGGTGGCTTATGGGGTTCCAGGAGTTAGATCTGTAAAGAGCTAAGATCAGCACCCGGCACAGAGGAAACACTGCACAAAAATAACCCAGCCAATGGGCTCTGTACATTCGCCCCCTCGGAGGAGCAAATAAGGCGATTTTCATTTCCACGGTAGGCTGATCTCTGACTCAGAGAAACAGATGCCTGCCCCTGTGTGAGACGTTAACGCGGTTCCCATTTTCACCACTGATCTGCCGCTGATCGTGGCTGGGGCTTCACGGACCCGAGGAGCAAAGCAGCAGTGGCGCCTACCATCGATGTGGGACACGGGAATGCTGACATCGTCAGCCTCCTGCTTCGTCCCTGCAGCCCGCAGCGTGCTGGCTTCCTGGACGAAGTCAGATGCTTTGTCTGTGTAGGAATAGGGATTCGCCACCAACGTCAGTAAAACCTGGGCATCGAAAAGCCAAGCAGAAAACATTTAGGTGGTCGCAAGTGAAATGGAAAAACAAAAACAAAAATACACAAAAAAAATCATCAGTAATATAAAGGGAAGAGCTAAAATGTTAACAGTCCCCAATAAGAACAATTTTTTCTGCCAAGTATTTTTTTTTTTTACTTTTTGTTACAGAATTAAAAAAATTTTTTTCTTTTGGTATAAACCACTGCGCTTAAACCAGTGGTATAAATCACTGTAAGTACGCCCCTGCTCTCTTTGTGCAAAGACCAATCCCCAGAAGGAAATTAAACAGTAATATATTCCCATTTTACAGATTCTAAAACTCAGCAGAGTCTGGCATATCAGCAGAAATTAGGAAGGAAGCCAGAAACCCAGGGCTTCTGGCACTGGTGCCTCAAAAGTGCCTTCGTCACATCGAAGGCCACATGGCATGCTCATTGACACACTCCTTCACACTGGACATAGGTGCTTACGCGTTCCAAAAACTGAATCACGGTTTCTCTTTGCTCGTCCGCAGTGTCATGTAAGTGTTCCAGCCACAGCTCCAGCTCCCTCCAGGTGTGCTCGAACACCCCCGTGTCCCGCAGGATCTGTCAGGGAGCAGAGCCAGGGCGGGGGTGTCAGAGCAACGAGGGGCCGAGGCAGCACGGCACAGAGGAGGCCAGAGTCCCATCGGCAGTTTTACCCCCAAAGCCACTCTTTCACAATGACACTCCCAGACGTGACGGAAAGGAGAAGAGAGTCTTCTGCGTTCACTCAAATTTCACACAGCCCCTGGTCTTACTGCTTACTCCTTTCCTTCAACTCCTAAATAATAAAAGGATTTAAAAAACCCAGCTGCTGCTTCGGAGGCTGACTGCTATAGCCGGATTTTCACAAAGACCCCAGGTAAATGAGCAGGACTCAGCCCCTCAGAGCCAGCAACTGTTAGCTAGCATGACATTCTCCAAGATCACAAAGCAGTCATGTCACGTCATCTCAGCGCAACCTCCCTCAGCCTCAGAGCCGGGACATGAAGCAGTGGCGATTCTAAGAGAACGGAATGTGTTAAGAGGGAGGACCTTGAGCCAGCACGATTATATGACATCCCCAAATGGCCTGATGGCACAGACTCCCACAGCAAGAGCCTCAACAGCGCACTGAGGAGAGACCCGACTGTGCCAAGCCTGCCCATGTAGAGTAAATGACTATGAAATTGGGTCAGGGTCAAGTGCACGCCTACAGGGAAATGGCAGTTTGTGAAGGTCAAGGCCAAGATGTTCATGTTCTTCAAGCAGCTCAGGTGAGAACGTTATAGGGCAGAAAGATTATCAACGCTTCAAAGAAAAAAATCTCTGCACCCCCAAAACAATGAGCGTGCCGCCTATAGCACATTGGCCATGCAGGAGAAAGGAGATTTCCCATGGTGACATCCAGACCTGGGGGAAGCCCTACAGGATGAAGATCAAGTGTGGGAGAGAGAAGCTGACAGTCCAACTCCCCGTCCCCTTCCAGTAACTGTGAGGACACCTGGGCTGTGGGTGATGGACAAGGTCAGAAAGGCTGAGTCCTGGAGAAGGCGGCGTCTGGACACGTGGGGGAAGGCACGGCCCACCCCACAGGTGGAAGTTCCCCGGAGGCTGGAATCCTAACACTGCAGGGAGCCTACAGCGTGCTGGGCATCACCTACTACTCCAGGCCACGCGCGCTCTCCTCTGAATCCTACCATCTCATCCTTCCCATTCACCGTGAGAAAACAAAGTTCAGCGAGGGTGAGTATTTGCCCAATGCCACCCAGGAAGAGGTAGTACTGGGACTCAAATCTAGGAACAAGACTTCAAAGCCCATGTTTCCCACTTCACCATGCCACCTCTTGGGAATGCAGCTAAGTTTAGACATGATAAATTAAAGCTGCCTTAAAACTTCCTGTTTTTAAATTTACAGAAGCCCTGACACATCCTTAACTCAACAACTATTTACTAAGCACCTGCTGTAACAGAGACTGGGAAGATGCTTCCCAGAATTAGGAACTGGTAGAAAATGCTTACCTTTATGATCAGAAGTTTGGTAGATGACTTGAGCTGGAGATGGCTACTGGTCACAAACATTTTCATCAGTAAGTAAAATACAGATCGTTCTCCTCCAATGATTTCTGCATCTGGGCCTTCCTGGAGTTGGAACGGTAGCAGATTATAAACATTACACAGGTCACTGGATGCTGAGGCCGGTATGGCTCCAGGCCTCTTATCTCACCTCACTTTAACTACACTCGGCAAGACTGGGATTTTACACGAGGAGGCTCGGAAAGCCAGGTGCTCAACCAAAGCCCCAAACGGCAGCCGGTGCTGACAGGGTCGATCCCTTCTACGTAATTTAGCCTCTCACAAAGGCTGGTGAGCTTTGAACACACGTCTCAGAAGTTCATGGGGCTCCAGATCCCTGGCCCAAATGCCACTGAGGCTGTGTCTGGCTGGCGTCTCTGCAGCCCCTGGCAATAAGAATGACCCTGACCGTGTGAAGTGCTGGTGTTCATGAAGCCCAGGAGACTTCATCTTATAAGCAGACGGTGGGGCACAGGATATAAATTAGTATTTTAATACCAGTCCTTTCAAAGTTAAGAGGCCTCCCTCTGTTCATTTTCCAAATGAATCACCAGGATCCCACTGGCCCTGTTCAGCTGGGGTAAAAAAAACTCAATGACACTCCGGGCTGCTCATCTCTCTGCGGACCGTGGCAATGACCTCACGGTGGAGTGCAGAGGTTGAGAGCAGGACTGTGTGCGACACTGGACCCTCCAGTCACCCTGCAGGGTGTCCTAACCACTCTGTGCCCTGGCTGCCTCATCTTTCTGTGGTGGTAAAGGTGCAGACGCACAGGGCATGCGTGTCAATCCTCAATTACGATACAGGTGAACCTCAGGAGAGGACCTGGGGGGAAATGCAGAGATCCCCATGCGCCCGCATTCTCACGCTTTTCTGGAAATATGACATGTACAAATCCCTACATACGTTTCCATGCTATTGGTTCCATTAAATTACAAAAACTTTATTTTTGAGAGAGAAAGCATGTATGCACGAGCATGAGTGGGAGAGAGGCAAAGAGAGAGGGATACACAGAATGTGAAGCAGGCTCCAGGCTCTGACCTGTCAGCACAGAGCCCGACGCAGGGCTTGAACTCACAAATGGTGAGATCATGACCTGAGTTGAAGTCAGATGCTTAACTGATTGAGCCACCCAGGTGCCCCTGGTTCCAGAGAATTTTTTTTTCAGAGAACTTTAAGTAAGATCTAAGTCACTTAAAAAAATCATCATCAGAGCTACAGAGCACTTGGAGCTTAATTTTGCCTGGTCATTTTTCCTCTTTGGATAGAAACAAAATGGCATCCTGTGCTTAAACACAGGTGAGTATCTGCTGCAGGCTGAGTTCCCTTTATGAGTCCACATTATATTCTCCAGAAGGTCCTAGAAGGCGTTATGAAAGGCAGGAAAAAACGCCAGCAATCTTTACTGATTTTTGTACCAGCCTGGGTCTTCTCCCGGCTGGTATCGATCTCAATCTCTGTCTCAAGTTCTTCCAGGATGAGAACAAAGAAGAAGGAATGCATTTTGTATTTCCAAATGCATTTATTTCCAAAAAGTTTTAAAATGACAAGCAAAATGCAAAGTACTCAAGATAAAAACAAAAATGAAAACTCCCAATACCTCCCAGTGACACTGTTTCAGTAAGGACACAGTCAACATCCTACTTTGCAAAAGCAAAGAGATGCACAGGCCTCTTGGTTCCTGACTCAGACCTGGCCTCTGCTCCAGGCGCATCTAAGCGGGGGAACCGTGAATGTCGTCTTTATGACCAACCGTCGGGTTCTGACCCAGTTAGACATTTCCAGGCCGAAACACCGACAGACCCCGACGTTAACGGAAGAGCAAGCAGAAGCCATCCGCTTCCTACCTGTGCCTTGAGCCACAGGAACTTGCTGGCGGGCAGCTCCAGCGCCACCTTCAGGATGTGGTGTTGTAGGATGGGAGGCACCTCCTCCCGGAGGCCCTGCTCTGAGATGACGCCTGTGGCAGAAAAGAGGGAAACGGACCGGAAGTCATGGGCAGGGAGGCACCCAGCGAGGCCACCCCTGGCCATGGGGGCCAGATAAGAACTCCCAACTGCAGAAATAAGAAGGGGGTTTGGAGGCTCTCTCCTCTCTTCTGGCCAGACGCACCCCCACCTGGCACATCCTCCCCTCCCATGGTCTGTCCAAATCGTCAGCAAAAAGCCTTAACTCCACTTGCCTCAAGCGGCCCCCTGGCCGCAGTGACCTCTCCCTACGGCATGAAGCCTGGCACCTCCCACTGCCCCCTGGGTGCATTCTCCGGGCGAGAGGCACCAGCCCTGCTCCCCAAACCAAAGACGTTTTGTGAGCAGACCTGTGGCCACCCGAGCCCCAGACTGTGTCCTCCCCCGCTGGCCTGATTTCTGCATTTCCCTTTGCTCGGGAGGGACATGGTACTAGATACGAGTGGCCGCCTCTAGTAAATTTCATATTCTCACAGCAGAGAGAGGCTTTCACCTTCAAACAATTAAAAAGTTAATTACAGCTTTTCAGAATTATTCCAAGAGCTTCTGTAAACCCCAGGAATGACACACCTGCAAGCCTTCCTCCATGGGCCCAATTATAAAATTATTAAGCACTTTTCCGTCACAGAAACGTGACCAGACAGGCCGAATGTTACTTTTACAAGATGTGGTTTGAACCTGACTCACCCGGTACAACATGGGTGACTCTGTCAGAAGCGCCTATGCGTGAGTAGGACGTCCCCTCTAAGGGGCTCTAACATCCGCACCCCTGCTCCTCTGAAGACAGGTTTTAGAGTTAACGTGACACACTCTGATTTGTCACTTATCTGAGGCAGACAACTCAGGCAGCCCGGCTTCTCCCTTCTGTGCCCTAGGCTGGTAAGTGCTCATCCGATGTTTACTTAAGGACAACTGGTGATTTAAAAACTATTAGTGCAAATACAAATAAGCAGGCTGGTGGATGGGGCCCACCAGCGTCCCTGGGCCTCAGCTCCGGTTCGTGACTGCTTCCTTCCTCCCTGCCGGCACCAGAGCAGAGGGGGCCCTGCGGTCCCCTGAGCCGCACCTTTCAGGAGCTTGCTGAAGTCGAAGTTGTACTGCATGACCATGTGTGGGACCGCCTTCTGGTACAGGCATATGACCTGCAGCAGAACGGCCTTCAGAAGAATGGTTTCTGCGTCATCTGAATCAAGATAAAAAACACCGTAAGTTAGGAAATACTGGCTCTTTGTCCTTAATCAGCAGGTGGTATGCAGTCAACACATGGGGAAGGCAGAGGCTGCAGTCAGATCCCTAGAGAGTCTACGTGGGCAAAGTCAAGATCGTTCAAATAGACTGGGTTTAAGTCCTCATGGTGGGGCAGTAACCTTGGACAGGTTAAAGCGACTACCTCTGTGCTTGAGTGTCTTCATCTGAACAATGGGAATTAAACAGGATGTAGACAGAAGGTACGAAGCCCACTGCCCGGCAGGCTAATAACAAGGTCTGAGTAAGGTACCTCATTACTGGGCAGGGGGCCTGTGAAGCCCACCTCTACCTGCACAGCCAAAGAGAGGCCTCCATGGAAAGGCCAGAGCACAGGGTGCCCAGCACTCAAGTCCTTAGACAGTCACGGTGCCTAGGTAAAGCCCGGGCACATTTGCAATAGACGCCTCCAAAGCCCCGTGGGCTGGAGCTGTCCCCGCCTGCCCATGTCACCTCTGTTTGCCGAGAGCAGGGCCCCACGCAGCCCTCACCGCACTGGGGAGCCACGCAGGCAGCAGGAGTCTGGGTGCCCCTCTTCTTTCCTTTCTCGTCATCCTGTTTTGTCTCCTGCTTTCGAAGTGACTGCCAGACCCACACGATGGTGTTCAGGTCTGGTAAACTCTATGAGGGAAAACACAGTCACATTAAACAAGGGAGAGAAAGGGAGAGGAACCCAAAACTAAGGGGAAGCAAAGCACAAAGGGAAGACACGAGTGCACGTGAGTGCGAGTGTGTGAGAGACGGGACATGGCGGGGAGAACAGGCCCATGTCCTCTGTGAGCTCCACACAGCACAAAGCTGTGATTCCCACGACTGTACGGCACGGACGTGGTGAAAACACAAGCGCCGATGCTTACAACAAAGACTCATTCACCTGAGCAGGACGCTAGGAACAAAGAAACATGCCCGACAACCGCAGGGGGCCACGTCCACCATGACCTCAGCTCCTCTGGGGCAGGTACCCCATCTGCAGACGCCTGCCCTTCCTTACTCACCAGAATGGGCCTCCCAAGCCATCCCCTTACCATGACCCTGGCCTTGTGCGTGCGGCAGTGGGGGAGGGAAGAGCATGTCAGCTCCTGATGAGACTTGAGGTCCCAGGAGCACCCCGACCCCTACCTGCCCTTGGTGCTCCTGGAACTGCCTCTTCCACCTGGTGCGCTTACCTGTGACAGCTGTAAGGAAAGCCCTGGAAACTTCCCCGCAAAGGCCAAACCCAGCTCCCGCACCTACCTTGCTCAGGGCTTCTCTGAAGAGGCGCACAAATTCTTCCATCGCCGCGGCCGTGTACACGCCTGATTCCTGCCATATCTCTTTGTTCAGACAGTGCTCGATCGTTTTTAGTGCTCTTTTCAGAATGACGGAAATAAGGGATAAAGCTGTGTGCTTCACTGATATGCTATCCAACTGGGAAGAAAAAGGGTTAAAGCCACACATCTGCAGCTGCTCTATGGACACAGTTCTCCTGAGCCCCGGGTGTGGCTGGCTCTGGCGTCCCCACGGGTCACTCCTAGGGAAGGCCACACAAGCCGGGTACCCTCGATGCTGTAAGAAGAGGTGGACTGGGGGCCCTGCCCCCCTTGACCTGCAACGGAACTGACCTCGGCACCTGCCGAAGAGAGAACTATAAGAGGGGCTGATAGTTACTCTCAACTCTGTTTCACTGTCTGTGTTTCCTAAGTCTTTTATGACAGCCACCGGACTCTCGGGGATTTTCCACACCAAGAACAGCTGCGATCTCACCAGCACCCAACCGGCCCCAAGCAGCACTCGCTGTCAGGGGCACAGGTGACAGGAAAAGGCAGCACACACTTAGGAAAAAACACCTGCAGGCTTGGTAAGCATGCAGCCCCCAAACACAGGCTCAGGGACCTTCCTAGGGACAGCCGGGACAGTTCTGAGTCCTCACCCGCTGCAGAGATTGAGCAGAACACAGGAACCGGAGCTGTTGCCAGACGGGGGTCCCCTGGGAGATGCCATCTCAGGCCCGGCCCTGAACAACTCAGGCAGCCCCAGGAGCATCCCAGGTGCAGTCTGGGACAGGATGAGCCAGCGGGGCCACCGCAGAGGGACAGGCAGGGACACCCGAAACGGCATTCTGTGTTCCAACGAGCCGGGGGTTGTTCCGTGCGTGTGCTGTACACTACAGCACTGCTACACGAAGTGCCCCAAGCCAGCGGCAACTCCCTCCTGTAACCCCTTCACAGGCAAGGTCCAAACAAGCGCCCGTGTGTACACGCTGCCTCCAAACGGCAAGCTTCCGGTTTCTGATTAGCTAACTCCTTTCTTTGTGATTCTAAAATCAGAAATTATGCCATTAAAAGCTTTCAGATAATACTGTATGGAAACCTACAGAAAACACAAACATACAGTGCTAACACCACTCCTAAGACACACCTGAGTTGCTGGCCTCACCGGCACGGTCAGGAAAGGCCCACTGAGGACAAAGCAAAGGCCTGTACAGGACGGCGGCATTGGCGGAACAGAGAGCGCACCCCTGTCCTTGCCCCACGTCACCTGGTCCAGGGACAGACACCCCCTGTCCTGAAACTACACTGTGACAGGGAGCGGACGGCCTTCCATCCCAGACTGCCTGCGGGAGCTGGCTCCCAGGGCGTGGGCACGGCTGCCAGTGACACGGCCTGCCACCCAGAAAGAGGGGTGACACACGCCTTTCAGTGGTTTCCTAGAAACAGCTCCTTGAGATAACACAGCCTGTGTCTCCCCCCAATGGATGGGCAAGCGAGCAGGGTCCCAGTCATGGCTGTTCTGATTTGGCCACCAGAACAAAAGGCCTTTCTGCCCAGCCCCACACTGGCCCCCCTGCTCCTTGCCCACAGCCCACTCCCAGCACAAGCCCCAGACGGGCATCAACAATGAGGAGCCCCGGGGCACCTGTGGGGCTCGGTCGGTTAAGTGTCTGACTCCTGATTTCAGCTCAGGTCATGATCTCAGAGTCACGGGATCAAGCCCCACATTGGGCTTCATGTTGAGTGTGGTGCCTGCTTGGGATTCTCTCCCTCTCTTGGCCCCTCCCCTGCACCCATGTGTGCACCCGCTCTTTCTCTCCCCCAAAATAAACATTTTTAAAACCACAGCTGGGGTGCCTGGGTGGCTTAGTTGGTTAAGCGTCCGACTTTCGCTTAGGTCATGATCTCACGGTTCGTGGGTTCGAGCCCCGTGTGGGGCTCTGTGCTGACTGCCAGCTCAGAGCCTGGAGCCTGTTTCAGTCTGTGACTCCCTCTCTCTCTGACCCTCCCCTGCTCACGCTGTCTCTCTCTCTGTCTCCTAGAAATAAACATTAAAAAAAAAAAAAGAATAAAAAAAACAAACAAACAAAAAAACAGAAAAACCACAGCTGAGCCCCGCTGCATAGCCCAGGGAGTGCTCACCACCCTGTGCTGACCTCCCCATCACGGCTGGGGCCACCTCACCCCTGCGCCACCCACCATGGCCCACCCTGGTCCCACTGTGTCCACACCACAACCCAGCCTGCGAGAAGGGTGGGGCCTTCTCCTGGGCTCCTCCTTCCCGGCTAAGTCTTGAGGAACTTGGGTCTGGGAGGGGCTGGCAGAGCGCAGGACCCATGTGTGCCAACAGCTCACGGCCGTTCGCTGACAGCCAGGGTGCTGTGGTGACAGACGCAGGAGTGCCTGAGAAGGAGGTTTTGGAGGGACTCGGGGACCTCCATCACAAATAACGACGTGGAATTTCATTTCTCCACGGACACGTCCTCTCGAGATGCCCGAAAAGCTGATCGTCAAAGCAACGTTCGTAACACTAGAGATCATAACGCCATTCACTTCAACCACAAGGGACAGGACGTGGCAGGCAAATGTCAGTCCTACGCCTTCCACAAATCCCCAACCAACACTTTCATACGGGACGCCAGGCCGTGGCTGAACACACCGCGTCGCCTCTGAGCCCATCAGGCTCCTGCCTTAGGCAAGCGCAAAGCCCCGCAGGGGTCCATGGTGCTGGCGGTGGTGGGGCAGCAGGAGCCCCTGGCGGGAACGTGCCTGGGGCCCCAGGGGCCCGGCTGAGTGGATCCGAGGAAGGCCTGAGGCTCACTGACAAAACACCACACAATACACCCAGGCAGGCCTTCTCAGAACAATCCCCAGCAGGGCCCATGCAGGGAACAGGAGAAGGTTCTAGAAGAAAGGTGACCACTTACATTCAACGCCTGGGTGAACATCGTCTTATTGCACACCAAGGGCACAGTGGTCACCATCACCATGGCCAGGAGCCGAGGCAAGGGGATGAACTCTCTGGTCTGGAAGGCCCGGGAGACGTCCGGCTGGGCGTCATAGATCTGTGACACAGAGAAAAGATGATGAGCGGCTGCGGGTTCCACTTCAAAGCAGGCTCAGCATCAGTGCCCCACAGCGAAGCGGGTCCAATGCAACCATTACAGCGAGGAGCGTCCGGAGACTGCCTGGAAACAGGCTCCGCGAGAGTGACCCCCAAATCTACTCACTAGAGGAGAGTCCGGGCACAAGACTGCTGCCCCAGGGCAGTGACCTTCAAAGCAGAGCTCTGCCTGCGGCCCGGGGGGCCTCATACACCCCCGGATGGCACGCCAGTCACTACGGGACCTAACAATCGTACCACTAACCAGGGTGCGCCTGACAGGCATCTGACGCCTGCCAGAATCTCTGTAATACTTCGTGACAACCCTTTAGGGTAGGGATTTTTTACATGGCAGTACAAATCGTTCATGGGTGACAAAGCTGGATCTCAATAAGGGTAAGTAAGTTCCCCGGGGGCACACGGTTAAGAAGCAGTGAAGGGAGGGCTCGCACCCAGGCCTGCAAGGCCGCGCACTTGGCCCCCCCAGGGGGGGCAGAACCAGAGCAACTCCCACAGGGCGGGAGGGGGTGGTGGTGGCCGCCACAGGCCTCCCTTCCCCAGCGCGAAGGGCAAACTGCCTCCTTCTCGCCCCAAGATACACGTGGGGAGCACAGGCACACGCGCTCAAGGAGAGCAAGAGCAGACTACACACGAGAGCCCATCTGGCAGACCAGCGCACGCCTAGGCGGAGGCACGGGGAACATTCCAGCTGCTTCTCACCTAGGCAGGTCACCAGGCAGACAGCGCGCCCCGCCGGCAGCACTGCCGAGGAAGGTACAGCGGCCTGTCGGCGGTGGGGACGAGAGGCGGCCTCTGATAAGACGTTCACACACAGGCACCCGGACAGGCAGAGCGTCACTGTGCACGGATCGTAAGCTGTTCTCAGAACTTAAAGCAGCGGTCCTTACATGTGGCGCTTCAGCTCACAGCCCTCCCCAGTGTCAGCCGCGACGTGCCAACACTCATGAAGGTCTCCCTCTAAGGAAAGCCTGGACGAAGGAGATGAATCTGCCCTGACAGATTCAAAAGGCGTCCACCCCGAAGTTCAGCTCGGCAAAAAGCAGGACGTCCCCAGAGGAGCAGGACGCCGGGCTGACACGAGCGGACGTCGCCCCTGCAGAACGGCTGGGTGAGTTCTCCGTCCTTCCTGCGGTCATCGGCTCGTTGCTTCCCCTCCCACGGCCCCTGCTCCGGGCCGGATTCCCCAGGGTATTACCTTGTTCAGCAGCTTGATGTTATTTGACCAAGTGGACTTCGCCCTTGGGAGAAAGGAAAACGTGACTTCCTTGAAGTACTTGTTCAGCAAGTCCGGGCACACCTGGAGGATGTTCACCACCAGCTCGGCCACCAGCTCGTCGTCTGCCGCACTTTTCAAACCCAACAGGAAGTGCAGGAGCGTCAGGTTCCCGCCTCTGCCAGGGAGAGAGGAGAAGGGTCGGCAGGAATTTCCACAGCACACCGAGAGCTCGGGGTCAGAACGGCAGCTCCTCAAAATCGCCCTCGGGAAACACGGTTAAAACAGTGACCGGCAAGCATCATTTTGAATTTCCCTCATGACACAATGCGGGGTATTTTCATGGCCTGTGAGGTTCTAGCTCCCCAACAGAGGGCTTGAATCTCACTCCTCTATTTCTGAGTGGCTGAAAAAGTCGCTATGTTGTCCTATCTCCATCTCTCCTTCCCCACCTTGAGTTCCATCTGACTTCTATTTTATTTATTTATTTTGGGGGAGGGAGAGAGCGAGAATCCCAAGCAGGCTCCACGCTCAGCATGAAGCCTAACACAGGGCTCGATCCCATGACCCTGAGATCACGACTTGAGCTGAAAGCACGAGTCTGACACTCAACTGACTGAGCCACCCAGGTGCCCCTCCATTTGACTTTTAAAGAGAAGGAAGAAACCCACTCTCCATCTCCACCCTGGCCAACAACCAGTCTACCCAGAAATCAAGGCTAATGTAAAGAAAGGGCTGAACCCGCAGGGAGAAATCCACTCCCGCAATTTGGCCGTGTGATTTTCCTGACCGTTTTCCTCCAACTGCACATAGAAAGGCACAATATAAATAAATATATATGTAAACATTAGGTATAAAAATACAGAGAAGGCATCTAACTTTTGAAAAGATCTTTATGTGAACTGCCCCACAGCCCACAGGGCCATAAATGATTTCTAAAACTCGACAACATGGCTACAAGTCTTTTCAGTTTTTCTACCTCCTCTGTTTCTAATGTATCTCAAATTCCTGGGCCTTCACTGAGCCACTGCAAGAAATTAATATAGAAAAAACAATCTGCTGTATGAAAATACTCAAAACTTGTCCCTAAGTGAACAGTTTTCAAAAGATCATAAAAATAAGAATCAGGAAAACCTGTGGATGTTAAAACTTGCATACAGGAAGCAACTAGCCCAGGACCTACACAGCCAAGCCCACAGTAGTCTAGGGTCACCCCCAGATCCTTCCAAGGGAGGGTGGCTTTCACAGCTGCCTGTCCCTGGGAAGTCATAAAATCCAGAACATCTCAGAATTTCTCATTAGCACGCCACATTGGTAGCCTCCAGGATCGTCACTCTTCTATATCCCCTTATAAACTGACTAAAATTAAGATATAACAGCTTTTACATATAATAAAACATTTTTCAAAATTTGAACCAGAGTGTAATTTTGATCAGAAAGCTATCCTTTAAAAAACTTAAAACTCCTGGGGGGTTTGGGGCGGGGGGGGGAGGGTGGTGTTCAGTCGGTTCAGTCGGTTGAGCAACCAACTCTTGGTTTCAGCTCAGGTCATGATCTCATGGTCTCACGGGTTTGAGCCCCGACTGGGTTCTGTGCTGACAGGGTGAAGCCTGCTTGGGATTCTCTCCCCACCTCCCAGCTCCCACCCCAGTTCGTGCTCTGTCTCTAACAAAACTTTAAAAAAAGTTTAAAATTCTTAATATGAAAATTTCATGAACAAAAGTTTGTGCTGTCAAGAGTGCACTAAAAATACTACACACACCACATTATTTTAATGGACAACATAATAAAGCAAATAACCTATTTCTAACACACACCGGCCACCGCTCTGGGCAGTTACTGTGCTCTACCTCCCCCTGAGGTGGATACCAACTTCATTTCCATTTTACAGATGAGACAACAGAGGCAGAGAGCAGTGGTACTTGTCAAGGTCTCAGTGCTGACCCCAGAATTTGTTCTCTTAATCTCCACACCAGGGGCTGGCAAACTGAGGCTCACCATTTGTCATCGTACATAAAGCTTCACGGGAACACAGTTATACTTCTTCCCTTAGAGAAGAAGTTTACCACCCCCGCCTACCCTATGCCTTGCTTTCAAACACCCTCTGTGTGTCCGGCACTGTCCTAGACACTGGGAATCCCAAACAGACCAGCCTCTGTTCACACTGACTCTCGTCTACCAGGTAATGAACAGGCAAATAAATAAATGTGCAAGGTGGTGATAGGTCACAGTCAAGGGCAAGGCAAAAGCACAGGGACAGTGGAAGGGCTATTTCAGAAAAGGGCTGCCGGGGAAGGCCTCTCAGATGTGCTGACGTGTGTGCAGAGACCTGAACAGAGGGAGGGAGGGAGCCTCACCTCTGCTGGGGAACCATACGTCAATTTTCACAAAATTTTCCATTAACGCCCCACAAACAAAATTCCCTTCCTCTCCCCGAAGCGCAAAACATCTGCCTTTTGCTCCTGGCTTCAAAAACGGACATAAACCACAGCTTATTTGAACAGACTCAAACCTACAAGTTGATTCAAATAAAGTCATCAAATGATCTATTTTATTGGTCTTACTTAAGGGAAAAAAAAAACACATGTATTTTAAGCATGGTGTTACACTGTATGAGATGATAAAAGTCTGCTGTTACATTTTGCCAGGAAGGCAAGCTTATTTTTGCTGATGAGAGAAAAGCCAGGCTACCACCGAAACAAAGTTGAAGGAAAAGAAATGATGCAGCAAAGTTAACTCATAATAGTCTCAGAATCAAATCAAGTCACACGCAGGGAGAAAAATCTCCACAGTGTTATCCTATTCTGAAGGACTGAGTCGTTTCCTAACTGGCTGAAACTAAACCAAACCCTTATGATTAAAATGACACGGAGGTTAAAAAAAAAAAAAAAATAAGGGTATTCACAATGAACAGAAAATACACCTAATATTTTTACTGTCAAGTGGGAAGAAAAGCAGATTGATAAATCTAACATTAGGCTACTTTGGTTATTAAAAAATAGTACCACTGATATGTGTTACCATCAGACTAAAAGACTATTATCCAAACCATCCACTAGGCACTTTATGTTTCTTTACTGATGAAACGCTGCCACAATTGTACAACATGAAACAAAACTTTGAAAATCTATCATGTTAGCAGTTGTCTTTGAGGAGAGGAAGGACTATTTAGCTGTTTTGGGGATGGACTTGGAACCAGATTCTCTGGGTTTAACATTTACTTATTTAGAGAGAGGAGGAGGCAGGCAGAGAGAGAGGGAGAGAGGGAGGGAGAGAATTCCAAGCAGGCTCCACTGTTAGCTCAGAGCCCAACATGGGGCTTGATCCCCTGAGAGATCATGACGGAGCTGAAATCAAGCGTCAGATGCTCAACCGACAGAGCCAGCCAGCCAGGGGCCCCCAGGTAAAACCCCTGGCTTTACATCGGAACTCTGACACAGGCAGGGTGACCCGACTTCTCTGTGCCCATTTCCCTCATCTGCAAAGCTGGGAGAACAGTGGCTCCCACCTCAGGCCTGTGCTGAGGCCCGCCAAGGGGCCCACCCTCTCTGGGAAGGTGGCTGGAAGACTTATCCTCGGACGCCACAGTCCTGAGTGAAACCCGCAGCACCCCTCCGTGTCCCCGGGTGAGATACCACCTACTGGGTGCCTACGTCAACAGCCACCCTGAGCCCTGCGGGCACATAATGAGCACAGAGTCTCCGGGCTTCCAAATGTGCGTCCCTGAAACGAGTTAGGTCACGTCTGAACTTCTAGCTGTAAACCACCCCAATCCCGTTATGCCACAGACTTCCGCCGGAAGTCACGGACACGATGGCTTGTGAGGAACACACGCCCGTGACTCAGGAGTGCGCTACTTTACCTGCCGATGGTGCCGAAAGACGCGTCATAAAAATTAATCCCGTGCTTGAGCGAACAGCAAAGATCCATCAGGAAGGTGTGAACGAGCTCCCTCACCATGGTCTTCCCTGCATCCTCAGAAGTCTACGAGAGGTTTATAAAATTCAATGAAAACCTCAAGTTCATGAGCCTCAGTAACAACCACAGAGTAAAAACTGGGCAACACTGCGCGCCTGATGACAGAGAAAACATTTTAAATGCTTGGTATCGTTCAAAAAAACCCCAAAGAACAGAAACAGCAGTCAAGATAAGGAAAAAACACTCTCGTATGTGGAACATAAAAAGAAAGAATACACTAAATAATAAATTACAAAAAAAACCCAAGCTCGTAGATACAGAGAAGAGACTGGTGGCTGCCAGAGGTGGGGGTTGGGGGTCATGAAAAAAATGGATGAACTGTTTTTGTTTTAGTTTAAATAAGCTGAATTTAAAAAGAAAACATTTATTTTTAAAACTGAACAAACAGGGAGTTGCTGGAACAAGAGACGACAGATAAGGGGACAGTGTATGCCCTTCCTTAACGGTTCCACGCATTCCACAGTCAGGGTTCTCACTTAATTTCTGTGGCAGGCCCGAGTCCGGCAAGGCAGACACGGCTGCACCATTTCACAAAAGGGCAAACCACGGACGTCACAGGACGTCACAACGGAAGGCCCCACTGCGTCAGCAAGTATGGAGCAGATCAGTACCCACACACCCATTATTAAAGAATCCTCTTGAGGCGCTTGTGTGGCTCAGTCGGTTAAGCATCCGAATTTGGCTCAGGTCAAGATCTCACAGTTTGTAGGTTCGAGCCTCACGTTGGGCTCCGTGCTGACAGCTCAGAGCCAGGAGCCTGCTTCACATTCTGTGTCTCCCTCTCTCTCTGCCCCCCTCCACTTATGCAAGTGAGTGCATATACTCCCTCGCTGTCTCTCAGAAATAAACAATTAAAAAAGAAGTCTCTCTTTACAGCACACACTTCAACTAGAAAATAATTTTCCTAAGCTTCTATCTGCTTTTGTGTCGTGATGTTGTGATGTAAGAAATAAATACAGTATATCTTTGAACAACACCGGTTCGGACTGCCCAGCTCGGCTTATGTGTATTTTTTTCCCATAAATACAACACAGTACTATAAATGTATTCTCTTAGGATTTCCTTAATAACATTTACTTTTCTCCAACTTATGTTATTGTAAGGATACAGTTTACAGTACATATAACATAAAAATATGTTAGTCAACTGTTTATGTTATAGATAAGTCTTCCAGTCAACAACAGGCCATAAAAACAAGTTTTTTAATGTTTATTTATTGTTGAGAGATAGAGAGAGAGAGAGAGAGAGAGAGAGAGGGAGAGAGAGAGAGTGCACGAGCAGGGGAAGGGCAGAGAGAAGAGGGAGACACAGAATCTGAAACCGGCTCCAGGCTCTGAGCTTCAGCACAGTGCCCGGCGTGGGGCTCGAACCCACGAACTGTGAGATCATGACCTGAGTTGAGTCGGATGCTTAACTGAGTCACCTAGGCACCCCAAGTTTGTTTTGTTGAAGGCATCACTGAACTCCCTGAATTTGAATGTCCTCATCTATAAAGTAGACACATTAAAAAAAAATTAATAAATACTCTTGAGAGGAGCAAGTTTAAACCTGTATTTTTAAACAAGCTTAAGAATGACTTAATTTCTCTTGCTCTTTTGAATAAAATTCCACGTTTGGGAGTGTTTTTACTAAGCCCCGGAGGCTTCCTGGCAACAGAGCACACAAAACATGTTCAAAACACGAGGACATAGGCAAGTCACGAAGATAAAAGGAGGTAAAACACAGGGCTCTCGAGACGTAGATCACTATAAAGTTCACAGGAAGTCTGAGCCTTCGCTACTCTGGCCAAGTCCATGTTCAGAAACACCCCAAGGGAAATCAGAATGAGGATTAAAAGGTACATTGGCCTTGGGTCAGCTTCAGAGCAACTGTTCTAATTCAACACTTGGGGAACTATTACAAAATAAACCACACATGTCAGTAGGTGAGGAAATTGGGGTTTTCCTAGACCCTCAGGATCCTGAAGTAAAAGCTATAGGCCTTGAAACTCTAGAAGCTGGAATGAACAGAATGGAAAGAGGGAAAAGAAGAGGTAAACGAGAGGAGGAAGAGAGCCTGGGTCGATGCCGTGCGTCTGCGTGGCAAGCTCAGCAGGGAAAACCAGCATGTCGCTCAGCTAAAGGGAGGAACAGTTTTCCCTTTAAGAGGAAAAAAGTCTAATATCATAATACCTCAGAGATTAGAAACGATCTCATTAAAGAAAAAGTTAAAAAGATCCATTGCACTTAAGTAACGAATTAGCATGACCACGAGCCAAGAGAAACAGATCGAATGGAGGGACTTTGGGGGGGCACGTTCCCCAGGCTCCAGCCACGAGGTTCGAACAGCGAGGTCACCTCAAACCCAACGGGACTCACCTTGGCGTGTTCCACGTTCACATCAACAAGCCCGTTCCAGCCGTAGAGAGCTGCTATGTGGTTCAACAGCTGCCCCGTAAAGAAACGCACCTTCTGGGTTTTGGTGATGTTTTTATTGTGAACTACCTGCAAACAGAAAACAAACAAATTTCGAGGAGCTCGATTTTCAGAACACCGTGTATTGTTCATCATTACGAAAATCATGTGGGCCCACGGCAAAATATTTAACCAAAAAAAAAAAAAAAAAAAAAAGGAAAAACGTAAAGAGAAAAGCAAAGTCCATCAATATCCAAACCGTCCTCGCGTCCAGTCAGCATCTCGGTGTGTTTCCTGTCAGCCGCCCGCCTCGGCATCACACAAGATACACGCGCACGACTGCTGTGCTTTGGTTTTGCCTCTCTGCGGTTACAAATGGTTTTCTGCCTGCTTTTACGTAAATAGCATGGACTTTTCCCTCATTATTGACAACTCCTTTAGAACGTTATTCCGGAGGGCTGTTTCCCTGGGGGGGCACAGTGAGGCTGCACTCTGGCACAATCGAGGCACAAGGCCTCGGTTCCCCTCAAACCCACTCCTGGAGCCTCTGTTGATGCGGCCCTGGTGCATCCCGGGTGTGTCCTGGGTGGTTCTGGGGTGCCCAAGTCTGGAACATTTGAAGACCTCTAACACATACTGCCCCTGCTAGAACACTGCCTCCACGAAGCACCCGATTCAAGGCATCCTTGCTAGTGCTGAGCAGCACTGTTTTCAAGGGTCAGTGCTGGGGCACCTGGGGGGCTCGGTCGGTTGGGTGTGCAACTTCAGCTCAGGTCATGATCTTACAGTTTGTAAGTTTGAGCCCCGCATCGGGCTCTGTGCTGACAGCTCAGAGCTTAGAGCCTGCTTCAGATTCTGTCTCCCTCTCCACCTCTTCCCTGGTTGCTCTCTGTCTCTCTCTCTCTCTCTCAAAAATAAACAAACATTAAAAAATAAATAAATAAAAGGTCAGTGCTAACATGGTAGTCGAGAAAAACCTGTACCTCGTAATTTGTATTACTTTAAATCAGGGCTTCTCAGCACCACTGACATTCTGGGCCCAATAACTGCTGTGGGGGACTGACCTGTGTATGTAGGATGTCTCTACCCACTGGATGCCAGTTACTTCCAGTTATGACAACCAGAAATATTTCTAGACACTGCCAAATGTGGGTGTGCGCCAGGGGGTGGGGGCGCAAAACCACCCCAGTGGAGACCCACAGTTTTTTGTTTGTTTTTAATTTTTTTAAATGTTTATTGAGAGAGAGAGAGAGAGAGAGAGAGAGAGACAGCATGAACAGGGTGGGGTAAGAGAGAGAGGGAGACACAGAATCCGAAACAGGCTCCAGGCTCTGAGCTGTCAGCACAGAGCCCGACGCGGGGCTCGAACCCACGAACCATGAGATCATGACCTGAGCGGAAGTCAGATGCTTAACTGACTGAGCCACCCAGGCACCCCAGAAGCACAGTTTTAAATACTATGCTAATTAGACATTTTCACATGGACTGCCAATTCATGGTTCTTAACTTTTTGTGTCGGCAGAGTTTTTCTAATTGATCTTTTAAGTTCCTTCTGTAATTTTTTTTTTTATGTTTTTATTTTTGAGAGACAGAGAATCAGTGTGGGGGGGGGAGGGGTGGCAGAGAGAGACAGGAAGACACAGATCCAGAGCAGGCTCCAGGCTCCGAGCTGTCAGCACACTGCCCAACGCGGGGCTCGAGCTCATGAACCAGGAGATCAGGACCTGAGCTGAAGTCGGATGCTCAACTGACTGAGCCACCCAGGCGCCCCAAGTTGCCTCTATATTAAAGACAGTGATTCTTCCAGGCAGTTTTAAAATTTCTATTTCTACAAGATGCCTGTAAAAGGCCGAATACATAAGATGCTACAAAGTCACACTTTGCTAGGTGTGTAAATGAAGAACAGCCATAACTTACAGCTCACAATTATTCCTGGGGCTACCTGTGAAACAGTGAGCAACGGCGATTCTGCTGGTGTGCTAACCCTGCAGCCTTAAGAAATGCTCGCCATCCCGCCTATGTGACAACGTGTGCGCCCTGAGACATGACAGCGTTAGGGTCCTGTGAGGCCCTGGAGAAGATGAACGAACAACACTGAGGACCACACACATACCTTGGTTTTCAGCGTGGATAACAAAATATTGACGGTGGAGATCCTGTCTTCCTTTATGCCCGAGCTAAAAATGCAAGGAATAAATTCTGAAAGCAAAAGGTTCAAAGCATTAAACTCAGAAATATTTTGAACATGAGAGCAGATGAGAGAACAAATTACGTCTTAAAATGGCACAGCAAACAAAGCCCTTTGCTCTTTCCTTTTTTTTTAAGGTTTTGTCTTTTTCAATTATACAAGTTCATGGTAGCAATAAACCACTTCATGACGTGGGAAATCAATACCTAAAAGGAAAACAATGACAGAGCCATTAAAGAGGTTCAGTAGTTCTGCTGATTTGCTTTCCTTCGTATTGACTATTTGACAGAGGATGGCTTGACTACAGTTTTGCTGAATTTCTCTCTTTGCTTAGATTTGCTGATATCTTTATCTACATCTATATTTTTTTTCTTTTGTGAGAGAGAGAGCTAGCCAGGAGAGGGGCAGAGGGAAAAAGACTTAAGCAGACTCCATGCTCAGCACGAGGCCAGATGCCGAACTTGATCCCACACCCTGGGATCATGACCTGAGACGAAATCAAGAGTCAGACACTTAACCGACAGCCACCCCGGCGCCCCCGGAGTTGTATTTTAAATGATGGTTGTCCTTTTATTGACAGTGGTAGAATTTGGGACTATGTGTTTGTTCGTGTTTTTTTCACACTTCTGGACCACCAAGGGATCAGCTCCCACAGCATGAAGCCCTGTCATGACTGACATAATGTTGACACTGGGCAGAAACATTAAAGCGATTATAATTTCACTTGCTCCGTAGGTACTCAATGGGCGTACACACTTTCTACTAAGGAAATTCATTCTCAAAAGAAAAATCAGAAAATACCGAACAAACCAGAATAATGACATTTGAAAACAACTCTAACTCCACTACCCGCAGAGATTACTAGTTACCTGCTAACTTTCTGATACATCCACATTCTGTTATACTTATTTTTCAGTAAAATAGGATACTCCACAGTTTTTTAACTGAGTTTACACTCAATCATACACTGTTTAAAAGGCTGCCGTCGGGAAGCCTATTTCTACATCACTTTTGACAGCTGCGTGCCACCTAATGATTAGCCCTCAGTTCATGCCATAAATCCCTTGCTGGTGAACAGTTAGGAGGAATCCAATTTTCAGCGAACGTGAAAAAATAATCCACCAGGAAAACCTCTACTCACGTTCTTAACTCTACCCTTAGGATAAACGGCTAGACACAGAATGGCCGGATCATGCGTTTGTACAGTTTTGATGCACACGGCCAAAGTGCCTTGCAAAACCATTAACTGAAGCACGTCCCTGCCCCATCGGCAGTGTGCCTAACTTCCAACTCGCCATCCTGTAACTGAGGCCGGACGGCGGCAATGACCGTGGGGATTCTGAGGAACTCCCAGGCCTGGCAGCTGCCAATCCCAAGCGGGAGGCTGCACGAGCAGGTACAGCTGATCTGCTGCGCCTGCAGGGAAGGGGTCTCCTCCACAGCGCCACCTGCCATCAATGGGGCCGCCTGCATGGACAGGGCTGCCAATGTATAGGGGTGACCGGCACCCACGCCCTCTTCTTCAACGGCCCTGGCAGTCAGCTGGAGAGAGCTCACGTCTCCCAGCCGGGGAAGGTGAGAGCAGGACTGGAGACCTGACTGCCCTGGGGCCACAGGCTCCCTGTTCCCCCCACAACTCCCGGAGCCTGCGGACAGGGCCTGGCGTCATACTGGTCACCCGTACGTGCGAGGTGCGTTCCAGCCCCGTCATTCTCTGTCCTGATGAATCTCTTGATGAAATGCAAGCGGCCCGGACAGACTAAACTATGCCAAGCCTGGCTCCGGGGCCACAGCCACCAGAAGGTAGTCGAGCTGGAATTTTCCAAAGCTCTATTACTGATACGCCGGTAACACTCAGCAGAGCCACCGGAGCAAGGACGCTTTAGCTGTTCAAAGCCAATCAGGAAGGAAAGCCAAGCAGCCAGGGCCACGAATCTGTGCACGTCTGGAGCACAGAGCCTTCTTTGTCCACTCGGGTCTCGCAGGTTCGCATTTCTCCTTTGTTGGCACAGTGCCCAGCGTTCCAGACAGCATAACAGGGATGCCTCTGCCGGAACTCACAAGTGACATCAAAACCTCACCGACTGCGGCCTCACTGCACGCGCATCCTTCATTCGAGCGTGTGCAGCGGCTGTAAAGGCCGCAGGCTTTTCTCATCCTAGGAAAAACGTTCTGCGGTAGGTTTTCCAAAACACAGTCGCGATGAGGCTTTGCTGTGGGACAAAGAGGCGCACCTACCTTTCAACTCCAGCACCTGTGCTATGGTGGTGTCATCGCCGGCGATCAGAAAGGAGAGGGCGAACTGAATGTAGGCCAGTCGGACATCGTGCGCACCCTGCGGGGAGGAGACCCCATGTCACATGCAGGAAGCAGGGACCTGGTGGCACACCCGCCACTCCCGTCCCAATGACTCAGAGGCCTCGGGGCTCATGCCATCAGAAGGCTCACAGTCTAAAACCAACGGTCAGCTCTCAATGAGAACACGGAGCCTTTTCTCTGCTCTTTTCCCTTAATCTTCTGCTCTACTTTTCTTTCTCTTTCAAGCTGTTTCCAAATAGAAAAGAATGGGCCAAGTTTGGCTGAGTCCCGTTCCCTGTCATGACATAAACAGTCTGGGTTTCTGGACCACCCTGGGATGGAGCAGAAGATTCCCAGCCCAGCCAGACACCACCTACTTCACCTGCCGATGAAACAATGTACACGTTTCTGAAACTCCAGAGCCAAGGGAGAGACCGGTTCTGCTTTTGCTGACACCAGCGAGGTGATAGCTGGGATTTATCAGGCATTATAAGTTCACACCAGACAGCATGGCGCAGACGCTGTCCTACTATCAAGCCCGCGGGGCCTTCCCGGGACCGCCATCTGCGCTATCCCGCCAGTGTCAGCCACGACCCAAGGCAGAGGGCACCCCTGAGGAGACCCACAGGCCATGACCAGTAGCCAACACTTGAGGGGAAGTCGTCGGGGCATGTGATCAGCTTTCCCTCCCAGCAATTTTAAGACGCACGCGTGTCTGCATCAGGTTCACAGCCCAGCAGTGAGGCGGGCCGCTCACCAGCCGTACCAGCAGCAGCTCATACGCTGGGATCCTCCACTGCCTCCACTGTTAACTCCTCCCTACTTGAGTTATGCCAAGAAATAAGTTAATACCATGGAGAATTAGTTCCCTGAATGCCTGGAAAGATGAAGAAGTCTGCCTTCCAGATAGTTCTATTCCATTTAGCAATGGCAAGTTGGTGGTGGCGGTGGTGGTGGCGGCGAGAAGGAGTTCAGTGTCATTTACTGAGCATTCGCTTCACGCCACATACTAAGTCAAAGGCTGCACATGTTACTTCATTGACTCCTTAGAACAACCTGAGGTGGTGATGCCTTCGTACCCATTTTACGGAGGAGGAAACATGCTTTAAGAACTCACTCACGGACACGCAGCTGCTGAGTAGTACGTACTGGAGCTGGAAAACAGGAACTAACTGTACAAACATACTGCTTCGTGCTCGGCTTTACGTGTGACTGTGGAGAAGCGCTTTCTTCTCCGAGCCACCACAGCATTTTCATTCTGCTGCTTCTCAAGCTGCAAGGATCACGCCTGGGATCGCTGAGGCCTCTGTGTGAGTACTGGCTTAATTCCGTCTTGTTTTGTTGGGTGTTTATGTTTTTGGGGAAGAAAAGAAACACCTGACCCCTGCTCTGCAACATCCCAATGGAGGCCTTACACCTTCGCTGTGTTTGCCGGGTCTGCACCTCCATCCACGCCCCACGGCATTTCAGCAAGGCCCTCTCAGACCAACGCTGGTTTATTCCAAATACACTAAGCGCTCAAAACTACCCTCCCCATTCCGGGGCCTACTCTGTGGGCCTCCTCACGGTACGGAGTTTGGGTACAACGGTCCCCAAGGTCTCGGCAGTGAGCTGCATCAGAGTACCAGCAACGTTTCGGGGCCTTCAAAACCAATTATATTCAAGGCGCCATAATCTCGGGCCAAGAAAGAACTCAAGGATGAAGAAGGTATCGTCCCTATCCTCAGGAAGCTTAAAGCAGCCACCGCTCCCAAACTATCAGATGCCTCATCGTTGAAAGAAACACGGCAACGAAATCAAGTGCAGTTAACGCGTTATCCTGACCCACGGGTGCCTCGTGCTCTGTGAGAATGCTGGTGAGATGCCTCAACTTGCCTGGTAAAGTTCAGTTAAGTGCTGTGCCCTGCTAGCTGGCTGGAGAGGTTCTATAAGTTCGGGAGGGGGGCGGAGACGGGGGGTTATACACCTAAGTACTGGGAGTCAGGGCCCTGGAATGCCGGTCCAGTTATGTGCCGTTCTTGATCTTTCCATCCTGCTTGTACACAGCAGCTGGACTAGATCCCCTCAAGGGTCCCCCTAGCAACGCATTTTGAACTGATACGGACGTTGAGTCCTCACCCCCTGGCATCCATCTTGTATATCCCGGCCAGCCCCACATTTCAGATTCTTGACACTGTGAAGACACCAAGCCCCCCTCCCAGCAGCCACTGCCCTGCCTCCCGCTCTCACTCCCGACCAGACAGCCCCTCACCGTCCCCTGGGCCTCCGCCCTCTGTCCCAGCAAGCTCCAAAGGCAAGAGGGCCACATGCCTCATTCCTACCCTGTGACCTCACGGCGTTATTATCCTAGCATCCTGAGCTCTTTATGGCTTGTTCTGCAAAACATCATCTAAAATAGGCCAAAACATACTTGGTAAAACTGCTCTTTGGCGAAGGACTGAAACAGTGCTTTCTTTGGCTGGATGAAAAATAACCATAACCTTCTCTCTTCCCAAAGCTTTAAGAATTCCCTCCAAAATGTGAAAACACACCCATTAAAAGAATAGATCTACATACAGATCTACCCACTTCTTCAATAACTGAAAGGCAGGAAAAAAAAAGGTTGGGGTGGGGGTGGGGTACAGAAAACTCAAAGTCAGGAGGAAACGTAAGAAACATACCCACCAGACACACCGGGTGGCCCCTGTCTGGATCCTGACTTGAAGTAAAAAAGCGTCAAGACGGTTCTGAGACAGTGGGGAAAACGGAGACCAAACTGGGCCTGTGATGGTACTGAGCACTGCTAACAGCATGAGGTGTGGGGATGGGGCTGTGGTTCTGTGTCTTAAAAGGGCGCTTTCTGGGGCACCTGGGGGGTTCAGTCGGTTAAGCGTCCGACTTCAGTTCAGGCCATGATCTCATGGTCCATGGGTCTGAGCTCCACATGAGGCTCTGTGCTGACAGCTCGGAGCCTGGAGCCTGCTTCTGATTCTGTGTCTCCCTCTCTCTCTGCCCCTCCTTTGCTTATACTTTGTCTCTCTCTCTGCTTCTCAAAAATAAACACTAAAAACAAATTTTAAAAAATTAAAAAAAAAAAAGGGGGTGCTTTCTGTCACAGACATACACTGCAAGTTTTATGGGGAAACGCAGTCCCCGGGTGGGGTCTGCTGCACGAGGTGTCCCGAAACCACCAGACACGTGGCAGAGGGGACAGCGTCTGCAGCTGCAGAACAGGTACGTGGGGATTCTCGGTGCTGCTCTCTGTTTTAATGTCCCTGACATTCCCATATGGGAAAAAAAAATTTAATGTCTAAAACCATTTCCTAAAACAGAACACTTAAGGTCTGCCACAAAGTAAACACAGCTTCATCCTGACGGTAACTCCCGTTTTACAGACTGAGATGTAAAGTTAGTTGCCGACACCCCGAGGGGAAGTGGGTGCGGCCCGCGGCGGGGCTCGGGCAGGGACGCCCCAGTCGCGTCTTGGTGGGTGGTCTGGGCACTGACACTGCACGCAGGAGGCTGAGCTAGCTGAGGTCAGGAGAGGGGGAGCGGAAACGGGGAGGGAGTCTGCGGGGTAATTACTGACAGGCTGACCGCCAGGTCAGACCAAAGAACCGTGACATCCGCGCTAAGGTGCAAACAGCAGGCAGATTCTTTTCAGAGGTGATTTAAATGTCAGGAGCCGTCACTCACTCAATGGCATCTGTTGACACATTCAGAGTATATGAAGAATCCAAGGGACTAAAAAAAAGAGTTATCCATGAGACACTAACACCTGGGATTTTTTTTTTTTTCCTCAGAGGACACCTTGTTTGTAATTCCAGGATTCCAGGAACACCCTCAACACTGGGCCAACACCACGGAGCCACACAGGTCACCTGGTGTTACTCTAACCTTCAGTCTCGCACCTGGCGGTGTGGAAACCCGGACTCCCCCCTGGAGAGAGAGCAGGATGCAGAAGTAAATCACGTTACCATGGATCTCCGCTGGGCAGATGGGCTGCTGACTTTCGGTCTGCTGTCTGTGGTGGGGACGGGGGTGTGGGGGACGGAGCCCCTGCTGTTCAGGGCACAGCAGCACCAGCAGGGGGGCTTAGACATCTCTCTGCAGCTTCTGAGCCCTCAAACCTGTGCTTTCTCCTCAAGAACCTTTCTCAACCAAAGAGAAACTTCTACGACCACCAGGGAACTTTTTAAAAACAAAAACAGCTCTCCTGAGGGGCATGTTCGATTTCAACTCAGGTCACAACCTCATGGATCAAGAGTTCAAGCCCCGCTTCAGGCTCACTACTGTCAGCGCAGAGCCAGCTTCAGATCGTCCGTCTCCCTCTCTCCCCCTCCTCTGCCTGTGTATGCGCTCACTCTCTCTCTCTCACTCTCTCTCAAAAAATAAGGACTAAATGAACAAAAGCTCTCCTGAAAACCATTCACCCTTCCATTCTCTTTGGGACAGTCCAGCACTTTCTCCTTATAAGACTTACAAACAGGAGGCACAAGAAACATTAAAAAGCCATCTTCCTTTGATGATGTCACTGGTTGAAACTCCCCAGGGTTTTCTCCAAAGTGCACAGAACAGGAAGATGACAGGGACACCCCCCGAGGTCCAGCCCCCGAGGCACATAGAGCCTACTGCATTTACTCTGTCAAGACGCTCACTGGCCAGGAGGGCCCGGCGATGCTGAGCCGCCAGAGAAGTGGTCCTCAGATGTCCCTGTCATCCAGGCTCTGCCACCTGTTTCTCCACACATAGGCCTTCTACTCCGCCCATGTGAGGACCAAGGTCGGAGAAAGGACAAGAAACAACCACTACAGCCCTCCAGAGGGAAAGGAAACACGCAGGAGGTACAAGACGCCGGGAGCTCCTCACCTTTGAATCCCTCTTGGTCGCCAGGGTGTACAAGGTCTTCTTATTCAAATCAAAATGGCTACAGACGTCCCTGGCGGCCTCAGGACCCTGGGTCACCATGGCGGCCATCAGGTTGAGACAGGCTCGAGCCATCCTGTGAGAAAATCAGGCATGTGAGAACAGCAGAAGCACAAAGCCACTTCACTACAAAGCCAAGTGCACTCTGGGCCGTGTGGTCTGCTATCCCCAAAGCAAAAAAGGAAGGGAAGAGATAGGCAGACATGCTTAAAAAAAAAAAGAAACCCCCCAAAAAACAAAACTTAACAAAATCTCCAAATAAATCTTAAAAACTTGAGTCTGAAGACAATCCAAGAATACAAAAGGTGAGACTCAAAGAACATGGCAAGTAACCGGTCACGTACCTGGGCGGCCCGCGGCTCGTACCCCACCGCAGAGCACAGAAGACAGCTTCACGGTGGGCGCCCCCGAAAGCGAGCGCCCAGCTGCCTCGCCGTCCCACCGCCCCCCAGAATCAGCGGCCTACCGCGTGCCTTCCACACCCCAGGCCCTGTGCGAGGTGAGGGACACCTCATCCGACACTCAGGCCCCTACCTGCACACACCCTGCATTCCAGAGAGGGGAAGCGGACAGTCAACAGACTGACCTGGAATGTTATGTCAACTGTCTGGCTGCACAAATAGACCTACGAATGGATGCTTCTGCCTACCAGCTAAAAGGACAGAGAGTGACAGCGGATGAAGGACAGTGGCGCAAGGCCTCCGTGAGACAACACTCCTGCACCACGAGGTACTGACGTAGAGTGGGGGGGAGGCTGTGGTGATGGCGAAGAGCCGCTTGGGCAGAAGGACAGGAACCGTGAAGAAGGTCTAGAGTGTTCCCACAACGGCGAGAAGAACAGCAGCACAGGCGTGAGAGGGACGCGTGGGAGGAGTCAGTGACGGCGAAGGGCGGGCGCCCAGGGGAGGAAGAGGCAGAGCCATGGCCTTGACATGATGTGACCGCCTCAGAAGCTGCTTCACTTGGCTTTACCGGGGGGGAGGAAAGGTCAAGCGCACTCACGAGGGCTGAACGCAGATGGAGCTCAGGTCCCACCACAGGACGGTGGGCAACTGACCTGTAGCCCGAGGCATACAGGGACTCGCAGATGAGCTTCATGTGGTTGTTCATGAACTTCTTCACGATGTTGGTTCCCACAACATGAAAATGGGAAAGATCGCTCGCTGTCCGCAATAATATGGCCTCGAAAACTTGAAATATTAACAGCATCTACAAAGACAGAATTGAAATGCTTAGGAATCGGCTCATTTCTGTTTCTCCTCTATACATATGCTCCTCCTGTCCTAACCAGTGACTTAAAACCTTCAACATGCAGGACAGGCCCCCTGAGATCCTGAGCCAAAGGCAGGAAGGGGATAGCTGCGCCGGCTGCCCTGCTCCCACAGTCCAGCTAAATAGAGAACTCCTCGCTGCTTACAATTACACAAAATGAAGTGAAAAGAGAGATGGCTACTCATGACTGGGCCTCCCTGCTCTGGGAATGTTCAGGTTGACAGTCTGACAGCAATAACCCAGAGATTTCAACCGGTTCATAAACATCCCAAGTTCTGAACGTCTCTGGAACCAGAGAACAAGTGTCCACTCAGTCAACAGGTGTCTGCAATTGTGACACACAGTTTCCACCTATTTCCCTTCTGTTAAAACCAACCACCCATGTCAAGGGGGCGCCCGGCTGGCTCAGTTGGTGAGGCATGTGACTCTTGATCTTGGGGTTATAAGCTAGAGCCCCACATTGGATGTAGAGATTACTTAAAAACAAACCGTGGCAAAACCAAGTGCACTTAGAATCTACGATCCTTCCCTCTGGTATCCTTCACTAATGTGAAATTAGCACTTCCATTAACAGGCTTTAAAAAGTCATGATGCAAATCTGGATGAATTCCTACAGCAAGGCAACAAAGCATGGCCCTCTACAGAAAGCCGGTAATGTCTTGGGAATTTCTATCACATTTCTCTTCATCAAGTTTAACACGACAGTGGCGTGAACTCGCTCTTCTCTTCAGCAGGCCAGGCAAGGAATGACATACTTCACTTTCCGGTCGCTTCTCCCCACTCAGGAGCTGGAAAATCTCTGCACACTCTACTGAAATCTTTATGTACCCTTCCACGACATCGTACACATCTTCTCTCGGGAGCTTCTTGGCAGCAGCGACAAATGCTTCCAAGGCTGAAATCAGAGTAATGCTCAAATGTTAACAGGGACGGTCTCCTTAGCGACAATCGCAGCCGCCACTGCCACAGAGGCAGATTTCCGGCAGGAGCACCCAGGCGGCTGGGGGTGACGCTCACCCAGAGGGAGAACGTGGCAGCGATGTGGGGACAGGGACACGGAGAGTTCTGACATGGCCTTTCTCCATCTCCACTGAGGTAAAGCGCAACGACTTTCAAAGGAATGGCTTTAGAGCCAAGCCCTTCTTGGTGCAAGGATCCTCCCCAACGTGGACATGGATCCACTCCCGGGCACCCTCTGGGTCGTGACCAATCTAACCCTGAGGCCGTACCCCCACCCCATGAAGGGGGTAAAATAAGAGGACAAATAAAGAAAATGTGATGTATCTGTATCTAAACCTATATACAATGAACTATTATTCAGGCAGGAAAGAGAGGGAAATCTGCCTTTTGCAACATGTATGGACCTTTGAGGGCACGGAGTGAACTAAGCCAGAGAAACACAAATATTGTATGTTCTACTTGTAAGTGGAACCTTAACGAGCCAAACTCAAAGAAGCCAAGAGCAGAATGGTGGTCGCCAGGGATGGGGGACGGGGTGTGGGGGAAATGGGGAGATGTCTGTCAAAGGGTATAAACTTCCATCTAGAAGGATGAGTCAGTTCTGGGGTGCCTGGCTGGCTCAGTAGGTAGAGCATGTGACTCTTGATCTGGGGGTGGGGAGTTTGAGCCCGAAATTGGGGGCAGAGTTTACTTAAAGAAAATAATAAGATGAGTAAGTTCTGGGGATCTAACGTACAACATGGGGACTATAATCAACAGCACTGTGGTATATACTTGAAAGTTATTAAGAGAGTAGATTTTATCTTTTTTGTTAATTTTTATTTTTATTTTGTTTACAAATAGTTTATTGTCAAGTTGGTTTCCATATAACACCCAGCGCTCATCCCCACAAGTGCCCCCCTCCGTGGCCATCCCCCCTCCGTGGCCATCCCCCCTCCCCCCCCACATCCATCAGTCCTCAGTTTTTGTCAGCATTCAAGAGTCTCTCATGGTTTGCCAAGAGAGTAGATTTTAAATGTTATCACCACACACATTAAACATGGTAAGTATGTGAAGGGATGGAGGTGTTGATGAAGCTTACTGGGGTAATCATTTCACAGTTTATGTGTCTCATCATCTCACTGTACATCTTTTTCTTGTAAGTTTTTATTTGAGAAAGACAGAGCGTGTGCAGGGGAGAAGCAAATAAAGAAGGAGACAGAGAATTCCAAGCAGGCTCCACGCTGTCAGCACAGAGCCCAACGCAGGGCTCGGTCTCATGAACCTTGAGATCACGACCTGAGCCACGACCAAGACTGTGGGATGTTTAACTGACTTGAGGCACCCAGGTACCTCTCATTGTACATCTTAAACTGACATCAGTCATGTCAATAGTATATCAATAAAGCTATGTAAAAAAAACAACACAGGGGTGCCTGGGCGGCTCAGTTGGTTAAGCATCCCGCTTCAACTCAGGTCATGATCTCGCAGTTTGTGAGTTCGAGCCCCGCATCAGGCTCTGTGCTGACAGCTCAGAGCCTGGAATCTGCTTCAGATTCTGTGTCTCCCCCTCTCTCTGCCCCTCCCCTGCTTGCTCTCTGTCTCTGTCTCTCTCGAAAATAAACAAACATTTAAACAAATTTTTTTAAAAACACAAAAATAACAAAAAGCCTCTCCTAATGACAGGATAAAATCAAAACCCCCACCATCTGTCAGTTCTACTTCCCTGATCTGTCTGGAGAGCTCATCACAGGAAGTTATGAGAACACAACAAAAGGGAGACAATCTGAGATAGAGACCAGATTCAAACACAAATTCCACACATCTCATGCAAGAGATTCACACTTGCACCCACTGACTTCAGCTTCGCCACATCTTCCACCGGCTTCACCTGTACCCCCTGCCCATCAACCTGAGTTTCCTTCGGAGATCTGTTCAAATGCAGCACCTGAAGGCCCTGGCGCTGTGTGAGCAAAACCACGAACATGTACCTGAATACAATCTTTTAAACAATTAAGCATGCTCCTTCTTCTGCCAGAAAGGTTCCTGTCCCTGTTCCTACCCCAACCAAAGCCAATTCCTCTGAGGAGACCTCATTGATCTCTCAGATTAAGTCTGAGGCCTGAAGGCGCCATGTAGCTCTCTTTTGGAGGAGTAGGTACTTGGAACTCTTCATGTGAATGTATTGGCTGAGATCTGCCTTCCCCACCTCACTGTTCATATGCTCAGAATGGCAAGGCCCGTGTCTGATTTTCTACTCGCCATTTTATCTCTCACAAGTAACAGCCCCTAGTAAATAACGCACAAAGGAACAAATGAATGAAATGTAGAATTTTGCACTAAAGCAGGTATCATCTTCAAAGCACTGGCTGGCAGCTGCAGGCATCAAATGTTTAAAAACAAAATTTATGGAAGGACAAATTGTTAAGTGGGGCTATTCTGGCCATCAATTTAATAATCTCTTTAACCAGAAAGAAATGCTGTCACTTCTATTTTGACACAATACCAGTGCCTGCATATACTAAGCATAGTCAATTGCTGGGGTGTATGGGTGGCTCAGTCGGTTAAGCTTCCGACTTCAGCTCAGGTCATGATCTCACAGTTAGTGGGTTGGAGCCCTGCAATGGCTCTGTGCTGACAGCTCTGAGCCTGCAACCTACTTGGGATTCTGTTTCCCTGTCTCTCTGCCCCTCCCCTGCTTGCTCGCTCTCTCTCTCTCTCTCCCCAAAATAAATAAAAACCTTCAAAAAATTAAATGAAATTCAATTGCATTTTTTTCCTTCTAACCTACATACTTTCCAAGTATGGATTACAAGAAGTTGTGAAGGGTGATCACACTTTTCAGAAAGTGAAATTACAGAATCTGTTCCATATTGGTCACTAGTCCAATCCTGGTCAACTGGCAAGTCCCTGTGAGGCTTCATGCAGTAGTTTATTACATGCCATCAGATGAGCGTGAGTGCTGGGGGCTCAAAGCTCTCGAAATTAGCGCTGACAGCCACAGAACCAGCACACTGAATGGACGGCCCGGAGCTGACTCACAGCTGGGACTCGGTAAGTACACATATATGCTTCCCTGACAATTGCAACAGAGGTTTTAGAGGTTGTGGGGGAAGGCCGTCCGGCCAACGGAGGCGTGCAGTCGCGTGGAACTGTCACGACCGAGCAAGGCGAGTCCGCCAGCCGTCGCTGACAGCCCCGGGCAAGAGAGTGCAGAGCGCGGCCCTACAGCGGCTCCGGCCGCCCGAGCACCGGGGCCTCAGTTTCCCGTCTGCAAACCGGAAGGCCCGGCTCTGAGGCTCCGGGACCGAACAGATGCACAGAGGAGGGCGGAGCCTGGCACACGGCCGCGGCCGCGACCCGCCTCGCTCGCACGTGACATCCCCCGCCCCCCGGGCCAGCCCCGCACTCACCCGGCTCTGCGCCCTGTGGATCCCGCAGCTGAGCCTTGAAGCGCACACCCGTGAGCTCTTCGGAGCGGGCCCGCTTGCCTGCGCCCGCGCGGAGAGCCGCGCTGTCCTGGCCACCCGCGGCCTTCCGCTTGCGGACCCCCATTGCCGAGAGGGCAGGGGTGCGCCGGGATCTACACAGCAGGGATCGCGGCAAGAAGACTCGCAGACAGCGCGGTACCGCTTCAGCGTGCCTGGAGCCCACACGTGAGCAGGAAGGGGCGGGACGGGAGGAAGGGGCGGGGCCTCAGTGGGAGTCCGGCGTCGGGGCTGGCCTGCGGGGCGCCGGGGCCGGCGGAAGAGGCGTGGCCTGAGGCGGGGCGGGGCCTGAAGAAGGGCTGGCGGCAGGGAAGCTACGAACCCTTTCGGGGAGGTGCTGCAGGAGACGAACCCGAGATTCCTCCTGTTTCTGTTGTTGACGCTGGCTCGCTCGCTTCTTCGGACGAGCCGACACCCCACGACATACACGCCCTGCCACGGTGAGGAGGAGCCCTCCTGCCCCCAGCAGTCCTCTCGAGGGTCTCGGCAGGTGGAGCCCCCGGGTCCTCCATTCCCTCGGGGCTCGAGCGTCTCAGCTGCACAGTCAGATCTGTTCTCGACCTGGGGGCGCCCTGACGCTGCCGGTAGAAGAACTCGCATTTCAAACAACGGGATTCGAGGCTTTCCCTATTTAAGGCCCTTCGGGTTGGCCGCGAGGGTGGATGTCCCTGGCTAAATGCCAGGCGGGCTTGAGCGGGAGGTCCTCCTCGGGCACCTGGGCCGAGCGTCATGCGGGTGCCCCTAACTCTGACCGCACCTTGTCCCAACAGCCTGAACCAGACTGGCTTGTCTGGTGGGTGGGATGTCGCCTCATACTGGCCTCCATCCCAGGCTTCCCCAAACTAATGGGAGGACATGAGCCCTTCTGGCCAAGCAGGTGCAGGGAGAGGCACAACTTACGTGAAAACCCTTCGCGAACAGCGCAGAGGCTTCCACATCCAAGTTCCCGTCCTTGAAAAGGAGCCAGCAGAGCCAGCCCTACCTAATCTTTGGGGCTGTCCTGAGCTGAGAAAGTGATACATTGTATGAAAAACTGCTTTGACGGGGGATACAAAGTTCTGTGTTCTTGTAAGCTGTCAATGACTTGAGAGCCGAATTAAATGCTTTGCAGTAAAGTAGAGGTTTAAATGAGTAAGTAAAAACAGGCTGGTGCATTTTTAAATATGGCTCAGAAGTATGGATGGATGCTTCAGACTGTCAGCCTGATGCCATGAGTCACTGATGCCAGATTGCTAACCCTGCTTGTTCCGATGTCAGGGTTACCAAACGACTTCCAGGTAGTAACGTGGCTTTCTATATTAAAGGCCTTCATGGAGAGAAAGGCTTTATTTGTCCGGAAGAACACTCTGGTCTATTAAAGATAAACACTGCTGTTCCCATGACATTCTAAGTTGGTATCCTTTATGGGGCCGTTGCACTTGCTGTTTCCTCTGAAACTCTGCCCAGACCTCACATGACTCATACTTTAATTTCATGTTCCTATCCATCTCTCACTCCCCTTCTTCTTAATCTCCTCTATTTTCCTTTATTGCCTTTATTTTTTTATGCTTATTTATTTATTTTGAGAGTGTGTGCACATGAGTAGGAGGAGGGGCAGAGAGCTGGGAGAGAGAGAATCCCAAGCAAGCTCTGCATGGTCAGCGCAGAGCCCAATGCAGGACTTGATCTCATGATGTGTAAGATCATGATCTGAGCCAAGATCAAGAGTCAGACACTTAACCGACTGAGACACCCGGGTGCCCCTCAATTTTTAAAAATATACTTCCAAATCTACTCACGAACTCTGCACTGATCCTGGTAGGATCATGCAGAGAAGAGCCATGTTCTCTATAAACATGCGCTGTGCCAATGACCAGAGTCTTAGACTAGGCCACTCAAGATACTAGGTTATTGAAGTGACAACCCTATTCTTTGAACAGCAAAATGTAACAAAATCCATACCCAACTTAGAGAATAAAGTATCAAGTGATAAATTTCAAGGGTATTATGGACACCAGTCTACCATCTTACCATTACACAGAAATGTGAGAAAATATAGAAAATTTGGGTAACAGTATATTCAAATTGATAGACAGTAATAGAACTTTAGACCCACGAATAGAAAATATATGTTCTTTTTTTTTTTTTAATGTTTTTTATTTATTTCTAGGAGAGAGAGAGACAGCGTGAGCAGGGGAGGGTCAGAGAGAGAGGGAGTCACAGACTGAAACAGGCTCCAGGCTCTGAGCTGGCAGTCAGCACAGAGCCCGACGCGGGGCTCGAACCCACTACAGCGAGATCATGACCTAAGCGAAAGTTGGACGCTTAACCGACTAAGCCACCCAGGCACCCCAGAAAATATATGCTCTTGAAGTAACATTGGAAGACATACAATTGACCATGTTCTAGGCCACAAAAGAGGCTCTGATAAATTGAAAAAAAAAAAAAAAAAAAGTCAACATTTACAGGCCATATTCTTTAACCCCCAAGCAATAAAATTTAACCTTGATAATAAGAAGATAGGGTTTGTTCTTTTTTTTAATCCCATAAGGCTGGGAGGGGGGAAAAATCTACGTAATCCTTGGAAAGCATCTGCGAAATCATGAAAGACTTGGAGTGCGACAAAAGGAAGACTTTATACGGCAAAATGTGTGGGGCACAGTTCCTAGAGGAAAATTTATAGCTTAAAATACTTTTATCAGAAGTCAAGAAAAATTGAAAACAAATGAGCTAACAGTACGTGTTCAAATGAAGAACTGGATAAAGTACAACAGAAACAAAGAAATAAGAAGAGAAAAGAAGCAAAGATGAGAGAAATCAATTACAAAGAGAGTAATAAGGAAAAAAAAAAAACTAAAGAAAATCCAGAAACCAAGAGCTATTTGTTTTTGGTTTTAGATTAAGTAAGCAAAACTGTGGCAGGATTTTAGATAAAGAATATGATAAACAACTACTCCAAGAATTTTCAAAACTACTAGAAATGGATACATTTCTAGAAAAGGGTAAACATACCAAAACAAAAGACACCAGAAAATTTGAATAGACCAACAATCATTAAATAAAATGACATGACAGTCAAGCCTTTCTAAAGATACAGATGATTTTTCAGGTAAATTCTAGCAATCTTTTAGGAAACAGATAATCTTTATCTTATTCTATTTGCCTCATAAAACGAGAGAAGGAAAGCATCCTAGCATCTCTTATGAGGCTAATAGAACATAAACACAAAACTAGCTACGGGTAACACAAAGTAAGAAAATAATGGGCTCATTTCACCCGTGGACATACATACGTGTAAATAAAATTTTAGCCGACCTGAACCAACACTGTACTTAAAAAAAAAAAAAACAAGGGACACATGCGTGGCTCAGTCAGTTAAACGTTCGACTTCAGCTCAGGTCATGATTTCACGGTTTTGTAGACTCAAGCCCTGCTACAGGCTCTGTGCTGACAGCTCAGATTCTGTGTCTCCCTCTCTCTCTGCCTCTCCTCTGCTCACACTCCGTCTCTCAGAAATGAATAAACATTTTTAAAAATTTTAAAAAATATACAAGGATGGTTTAATATCATGTCTGTCATTAACCACATTAATGGGTTAAAGCAGAAAAACCAATTATTATTTCAATAGAGGGGAAAAAGGCATCTTCTTTGAAAAAGAGATTTTTTTGAAATCTATTTTTTGAAAAAAATCTATGACTTTTAAAATTCACATAAAACTAGGAATAGAAAAAACTTGATAGAGGCTCTATGTCTCAAAGCCTGAAGCAACTATCATACATAATGGAAAAACTAGATGCACTTGAGCTGTGACTAGGGACAATAGGAAAGACAGAGATGCCCAATGTTTATGTTACTATCTATTACTAAAGGTCTTCGGTGATGAGGTAAGGTAAGACAAAAAAAGATATGAAGGAATTAAAAGAGATAAAACTGTCATCTACTTAGAACATTCAACAGAAATACCAGCTCAAGTTTCACAAGGTTGTCAGATATGAGATCAAATTACCAAAGTCAGTATTGTAACCTCTACTTTAGCAATAGCTACTTTAAAAATGATAAAAAGGTGCGCTCACTTCGGCAGTACATATAAAAATGTGATAAAACTGTAATAGAACACAAGACACCATTCACAAAGGGGAGTGGGGGAAACCAGTGCATTATCTCTGAATTAAACTAAAAAAAAGACTGCACAGCGAGTTTAAGGAGAACATTGTAAAAGATTTGACTAAATTAAGAGACATGCTATGTTTGTAGAAGAATGTCTTCATGTTATAAATCTGTTAACTCTTTCCAAGTCAAACTGTAAAACCATTGCCATTTCAATCAAAATTAAGAAACTCAAAAAAATCATGATAATTTTGTATGGGAAGATAAAGGTCTATGAATGGCTAAGTCAAAAAGAATAAAGAGATCGTCCTTATCATGCCTGAAGACATATCTCAAAGTTTTAATAAACAAATTATACTGGGAATGGTAAAAGACTAGACAAATAGCCCAGTGGAACAGAATATAAACTCAAAAACAGACCCATGTTATGGTGATATGGGTTAACAACTCTGAAACTGCTTTTCATGTGTCCTAGGGTTGAACTGACCAGTAAATGGATGGGGAATGATGTGCGCCACACTTCCCACTACTGGAGAGAAAAATTAACCTATAATCGAGAAGGTTGGGCTAGAATGAACCCTGTGAGATTGAAGTAGAGGTAGAAACATCAGTATGATCTCACATATAGCTTCATGTAAGCAGAGATGGATAGATACTGAAATAAGTACATGCATGCATTCTACCTGGGTTGGTACATACACATATATTTTTTAGTTCTGTTCACTGATGGGGCCTGTAGTAATTAGCATACCCGGCGCACGGAACTTGAGTTTTAATACCATTATCAAATAAAAGGAAACAGGACTCCTTGGAGAAGTGGCTGATTCCAAGGCTGGGACAGACCACACATAAAATAGCATGGAGCATCTTGTAATAGCATCAAGTACAAAATGCGGGAGGAAAAACATAGCGAAGGGGAGGGAATATGTCAAAGGGATACGGGAACCAATCCAAAATAATTCCCAATAAAATAATATGAGTGGCTAAATAATGAAAATTGAACTCAGCTATCATCTAAGGTATAAAATAATTATGCATAAGTTTATACTGATATACAAATGATTGC